CTTTTTACAGATGATATATTAGATGGATTCGAAAATTGCCCTTACTACAATCATAGTGCAAATAACCGATTTAGGGCATTCGTGGTTGGTCAAGCCTCAACAGTTAATGATCTTACAAGTGTTTCTCAATGGAAATAGGTGCACTCAAAGAAGAACACTGCATATTTTGGACTATTTAAGGATGAACATCTTAAGATGTGGCGCGAGGGCTCTTCATCAGATGTAACCATGGAACCAGATAATGGCCAGGTAGAGATAAAGACTACATTGGTAGTAAATATCTCCCTTGGTCGCTCTCGCTTGGATACTACGCCTTATTCGTAGTTCAGATTGAGTTAATTCCACTTAATATGGGACCTGATTATTCTACAAGCTTGATATATTCTATAGAGCATTTCTGCTTGATCGTGGAAAGTATATGTATACTCAAGATAAATTGTAAAACATAATAAATTGTTTATTTGGTCTTTACCACCATTGGGTGTGTGCAGAATACTGAGAAGACTTAGGAATTTGAGTTGTTCTAACGGGAATTACCAATATTTACAGTTCATCTTTATTATGGATAAAACATCGCCACATTCCTTTGGAAAGCTATACAGTAGTTAGTGAGATATAGATGGTATCCAACCAACGCATATCTTCCCATGAGATGTTGTGGTAAGCTGTACCCCTGTTTTCTTGTATCCCTTAAGCGTGTGTGTCCTGTCCAGCTAGTTGTATACCACTGACACTTGTTTGTGTCCCAAATTATGAATACAGGCGAAGCAAATAACAAGTGTGGTTACCAAGCTCATACATTAAACCGGGATATAATTTCCGAAGCTTTCAGATAGGGACTGGCCTTTTTATCGTCTGCAGAGTATCTTAGTATTTCGTGAAGTATATTTTCAAGGGAGGCCAATGTGTCTGCTAGCAGAATTTCAGTTGGTAGTTTCTTTGCCGATCTTGCGCTTTCTATCCACTAGGTGTGGCAGCATTGAACTTCTGGTTGACTTTGTGACACCTTAAATCTGAACTTCACTGTACAATGCTCCTGGAGGCAACAGTAGGCTTACCGAGTCGTTCTGTCTATGTGAATATCTTCAAATGGACAGTTCAGTTTATAAATGCACACTGAACTGGCCAGATTCGATAGCTTATCCCTCAACTGGGTAGTACGACGAGTGGTGAATTTTAGACAGAATGTTGCCCAAAGAATGTTTAACCTATTATGTTGCGAGGTTCCGTTGCCAGTGATTCACTTGCCGTATCTGTTTTAAACGGTAAGGTTATTCATATACGTTTCTTCTGCATCTTTTGCAGGCACTTCCTTCTATCTGTTCTCTTCATGGGGACTTTAACAAATTTTTCAGGGTATCCATTCTCATATAAAAAATTTTCTGTTTTGCTTGTTTCCTCGTCCAGGGTGTCGGTTGGGCAGAATTTTCTAGCACGAAATATCAGGGTACTGATAAGATCCCGTTTGCATGCAAGAGGGACAAACGATATGAAATGGATATATCGGCCAACTCACGACTTCTTCCGGAAAATACCCTGCTCAATATATATTATTATATCGTGTATATACCATTTCACATATTGCACGTGAGGTATATATAACATAAAAACCACTGTTTCTCCTAACACTGTGCCTTAAAATACTGAAGTTCCACTTTAAATGCTATTTTACGTTTTTGTTTCAGTGAAGCCACTTGTGGTTCATTGGATTATTGCATGTCTTTCGTTTGAATGCACATTTTTGTTAAGTACGAGGTACTTTGTGTTCAGTCACAGTGCTCTTGGTATTCGTGTGCCGGATGACTCCATAGATAGTTCGTTTTATAGTTGTCTGATACATTTTGTTAGATAGAACAAAAAACCCCAGAATCTTCAACTATTTTGGTTTTAATACAAATCTTTTTGGAACAACTTGTTATATTCCGCGTTTTGAACTAAAGTCTGCGAGTTGTATCATCTTAGAGAGTTATTTGTGCCGTGGTAGTAACGATAGCATTTTTTATTATGTCCTGACTGTTAAAATCATTTTTTCAGTTTGCTTACAAATATGTCACACTTTTAAAATGTAGTGTGGTTCCTGAATTACTACGTGGATGCTGTTGTCCTGAAAACGTTGACCATATTATATAGCAGAAGTAGACAGGTCTTGTGGCAGTTAGGTCTGAAGTATGTCTTGGTCATTATGGTGTAGAGCATGAAAGTATGTCACGAATTCCCTAAATTTTAGACAATCCGTCGTCAACTATCGATTTGTTTATTGCTAGTGATTACGTGAAATGTGGGAAAAGCTGAAGAAAATTGCACTGAGTGGAACCAGCGCGTGAATATGTAGGAGATTATAGAAGTTTGCCAATTCAGTTAAATCGCAGGCATTTCGATTTCAACTGTCGATTTATTTTTGCTGACTGGGTTTTCAAGGAACAAGAACGCCGCTGTGCTTCGTGGTGTGTTCACATGCCTATGTACTCTTATCATACTGTTGTTAGTAATTACATCTTTGAAAAGCCGTGTTATATTCTACTTTCTCTAGTCGGACATGAACATTAGGTTAGGTGAGCAGGGCTAAGGTGTAAGTAGGTTGTATGGCTAGAGCTCATGTGTAACAGAACAGATGGCCACACAACAACCATGAGGGTCGTTTTTAGTTGAAGCCAACCGAAGGCGAGATTGAAGTCGTTCAGGCAGCCTACTGAATGTTTTCCTCGAAGTTCACTATCATATCAAGTTAATGCGATGCATGTTTTTTGCATGTTTTCGTCTGAATGCGTCATAAGAGAGACGTAAGTGCTGCGTTCTGCCTTCATTAGTGTTCGCATCCTTGAGAAGGGCCTGTTCATCAGGATTAGATGGGTTAGGCCTAGAAGTCAACCAGCTAGGTGGTGATGGCTCGGAATTATCCACATTATTCGGGGGAATGTTTCCTGTCCGAGGCTAGCAAACGAAGAGCTCGATGCTACTCAAGCAATATAACAAACTGTTTTATTACAGCAATATTCACCCAACCAATGCTGATTACATTTTCGTTCAAACACTAATTCTATCACAACGTGGCTTCTTGAAATTCCTGTGCTGCCATGCCTGCTTACTAAACTATTTGGACGATATCACAAATTAGCTTGTACGGGGTACTTTTGTCTTTGTTCAAGACTTCGACTTGAAATAATCACTCGAAAGGTCTCTCGAAAGGAATTATTTATTCAGACCGAATTAAACTTCCTTTAGGAACTTTTATCGTTTTGGTCCATTCCATTATTGAATGTTTTATCTCGTGTAATATAGATAAACCGAATTAGGTATCGCTCACAGTAGCGTGAAAAGTTTATGGTTCGTCTAATATTCATGCACTGCAAGATTACCTCTGTTTTAGAAAGTGCATATCACAGGAAATACGTCGGAAACATGTATATAATTTTCGTTCTACTAGGCACAAGTGAAGGCGCCATTGACAAGGAGTGGTGCTCATCCCGTAAATTACACCTTCCTTTAAACGTATAAGCTCCTAGTTAGAGGAAAAATTGACAAATTCTACAGTTGGATGGTAGTGGAGGTGTTATTAACTGGCTAATATATTTCGTCCTAGTAAATTTATTGCCTCACCTTAGACATACGTGAAAAGCCATGAATTTTATAGACTGGAAAATATAAATGATCTGTACTTACCAGCTTCAAAAATTCCTCAGTGATTTAAAATATCAAATCAACAAAATGGTCGGCATCATTGATAAACTACAAACAATCAGTGGATAAGTAATAGAAAACCTACCAGTTACGCTGCTTAAACTACTTCGGCTTCAACTGGATATAACTCTCACGATTGTTTGGCCAAATTTTCAGTAGTTTATTAACAGGATTGTTGTGCGATCAAAGGTCGATATGAAAAACTGAAATGTCCCGGTGATGAATGCAGGTTATTTACAAGAGGTAGAAAGTCTCAATAAGTCGATAACCTCTATAAGAAAGGAGCAGAAAACGGTTTGTAAACAGTAGTAATATAGTGCATTCTGATGCAGCCACCAGGACGTGCATATCGTGGTGCCGAGGGCACACTTGGAGTCCGGCCGCCAGCAAGATTAAATAGGTAGCATGTTAAGGCCTGAAGATTGAATCTTGTTGCTGTGTGAATTTTAGTAAATTCATTCATCTGTGGACAAGGGACTATTTTGACTATTTTCAAATGTGCCATAATGTGAGACTAAAAGATATCAGAGGATGGCATACATTTCAACAATGTTCCAATAACTTCGTTACTATTCTTTACTATACGCGTCGGTGGCACAGTGGTTAGGACTCTCGCTGACCATGAACATGGTCCGGGTTTCCACCCCCTGCCGGCGCACACCCGATATCTATGGTTGGCCTGCAAAATTTGGGCTACCGATATCCATGCTGAAAACTCCATACCTGTACCTAAAAATACGGTATGGCATCAAGTGGTAATCAAAATAATAAAAAAATAATAAAATAATGAAATAGTCTAGTTTCATATACTAATGCATCCTTCGTTTGGCTGGAGTATCAAAACTTCGTTCGACTCCAAATGAAGTACAGGACCCCGAGAAGAAATGCTAAGATCCCCTTTGAATTTTTTTCATAAACACTATAATTGCAACTAACTCGGAATAACTACCGCTGTGCCGTGTAATCTTACACTTTTTAATTTATTCACTACTGCATGACTCCCAATATGCTTATTCTCGCATTTTAGTAATTGTTACACTGTACTAACACAGATTCGAAGCCAAAAGTCTTAGGGACTAAGTAGAAGACCATGATAATTCTCTCCAGATTCTTATCGTTTTAAAATATTTTAGAACCTAAAGTTGGTTTTGTGAAGGTAAGTTGCGTCAACTTCATACATTGGATTTTGGCAGCATTTCAAACTTCATGGAAAGGTATAAGTTGAACTTACGTTATCGCTCGTTGAAACGGATATACTGACATGCGCTTATGCTTACTTGCTTTGACATGGCTTCATTTTCTCTCTGCAGTACTCAGCAGCTATGAAGAATGTACGTTGTTTTATCAGATTTAATCATAATTTAGACATTATACTACCTGTCAATTCAAATTACTGTCAGGATCATCCTGTTTTTCGAAGATTTTCACTCTCACGGCAAATGAGTTTTGTAACTGGTGTGTACAACTCATCGTGGAACAATCTGCTGTATGCTTGTAAAGTAAGTACACATCTTTCCTGAGTTGAAGTTTTCACTTCAATAATTTGTCATGTACTGATGTATTTGTGTATGATTGTTTTTAAAATAAGCTTTGTGTGTTCCAAAAGATAGTCCTAAAATAGTTATGCTAAAAGACATGCTATGGAGATATAATTCGTGTATATAGTTGCAATACTGATCATTCATTGGCTACATTTACTGTCTGAACGTTTACGTAAACGTACTGACTATTGATTTCAGGGCACAAAAGCTGTTTCACAAGTGAAAATTATTCCTTATGATATCTTGTATGTATAATGAAGCTTTATTTAAAGACGAAAATGTTCTTTTAGTCTTTCTAACTAAGCACCTACCTATTTATATTTTAGTCAACCTAATATGTGTAAAGTACTGAGAGCTGCGCCGTGTAAAACGAGGTAAAAATTTAAAATGCCTTAGTAATTTTTATTGGTCAAATGACGAGTCATTCCTCAATGGTGATAATTTTCCCAGGATTTAATGAATAGGCAAAAGAGCTTTGAGTGAAATAAACTCTTACGTAAGCCACTAAATTTTGTGTGGACAGTCTTTTTCCGCTCAGATTGCTTCTGTTCTTACTGTGATCGCAGTCAAATAACAATTTTTTTATGGATATTATTCATTATGGATGGAATATGAATAAATCAACTTTCATTTAAATCAATTTTATGGAGCTGGTATTTGCGATATTAAATAGTATACCAATTATTTTGGTAGAAGAACTGTGATATCTGACGAAGATAGAAATATTTTCCGTTTATTGATGAAATTACTAGAAAACTATGTTTTCCTTTTTGGAAATGCAAAATGTAGTGGTGATACTACTTTTACTATGATTATCTATATCAGCTTGGTAGGTTATGAAGAAGAATTGCTAATAGGTGTCTTCATTTGCATTTCCTTAATAAACATGATGGTAATGTATGACACTCAATTTTAAGTGTTTTGTCACAAAGAGGCTGTTAGCGATCAACTTTAAAGGTAGTGGCCATATATTAAACATTTTGGCCATAGTCATGGTTTTATTCTCATTCCACAATAACTAATAGAAACTAACACATAATTTAATAAACCAGTGAGAATGAAACCTATTTCACTTTTTTTCAGTGTATAATATTTTTGGTAAAAACTTAGAATTCTTGAACCATATGATGATTATCAACATTTTTGGCAGGAATTCATGAAGTATGAAGATGCTGACTCCAGTCTGTCATCATCTTTGTAGAGTTCTAAATATGACCTAGAATGTTGTAGTTATCTCCTGTTTTGGTTTAATACAGAACCCTGAGATATCCTAGAGTGATTCATTTTTTACCGTCTAATTTGATAACCTTACATTCTCTAATCTTTTTTTGGTTTTAATGTGATAATGTTTGATCTTAGATTTGCGTTATTTTTAAAACCGTATGTCTATTATACAAATTTAATGAGTGATTTGTGTATTTGCAATCATATACTAAGGCTAATATATGTGTATAGAGCGAATCTCTAACATTTTCAGCTTAGTGTGATTAGTTTAGATAAAAATTCAAACTGTAAAATAGAACCCTAGTACGGTAAGTAAGTAGTTTTTCAATGTTCCTAGCATACTCTCTTCATTAGAAACATAACCGATTCATTCTGTTGGGAGCATAAAAAAATGGTATTTTCAAAATATGACATTATTTGTTTGTCTTAGCGTACACTTAGCAGCAAAACAGGTGTCACAGCTCTCTGTATTCCAGCTGTAAGAATCTGTATCTTACTTAGAAGGCATTATTACACAATTCGCCAAAACTCAAGATAAAATAGGTGGAATGATGAAAACAGTAACTAGTAAAAGAAAAAGCAGCATGCTAAAACAAAGCGCATTTCAAAAATATATTGCAGATTGTATTTTGGAGTTAAAGGATCTTGGAAATTATTTGCAGTTCAAAAATCACTTTGTTTTGTTGAGCTTTGTAACACCACTGGCTTATATTATGAAATTTTCTTTAGCATTTGCTGTGGACATTGTCTACAAACAGATTTTTATGGACAATGCTATTGACGTGAACTGAAAATCCCTTTGTTTTTTGTGTTTTCTGTTGATTTTCTCACAGTGGCATTCAGCACTAAACTTCCTGAATTTCCCCATCCTTTCTCATGTTTTTCTTTGTTGAAAATCTGTACATTTTCTTTACTGGATCCAGACCCACAGTTATCCTTATGCATTAGTGCAAAAAAATTTATGTCCTGGTGACTGATCGTTAGTTGGTAATAATGTAAAACGATAAGGGAAGCCAATGACTCCGTAGAGGTACTTTTTTAAGTTTCTACATCTTGCTTTCTAGATTTTTAAATATAGCGCAATGTATGCAAAATAAGACATAGTCTACGTCTATAGTGCTCTGTGATCTTCCCCATGTTTGTGTTTAAGGGAAATCACAAACAGATTGATAGCATACTATGTAAACGTTTAAACTGCACATCCAACAAGAATACCTAACTAAAATCAAATGGAGTTCAGATAAGCATAATACAAAACTAGAGGAGGAAATATGTAAGTGTGATTACAGCACACAAAAGCTGATAGACTAAAGTCATTCTGTAAATATACTAACGACTGAGAAGCTGTTATTATTTCTTACTGTCGCTCTAAAGAAATAGAAAGCAATATGCCTTTTTGTAGATTGATGAAAATGATTTACAGAACTTGATACTGGCAGTGCATCTTTTATAGTTTAGAGGCACAGTTAACTCTGTTCTGAAATCTAAATCAGGTACGCGTTATTTCATTTAATTAGGTGTGATTAGCATTTGTTTACAGACGAATGATAAAACTATTTTGTGCAAAGTGAATTTCGACTACCTAACTGTCTTAACTTGGTTGTATGCTCTGTACGCATCTAGTTTGTGTACCTTACTTCGTGAAGTATTTTAATCACTTGAGTTCACTTGATTTAGTATATGAAGTTATTTTTCTCTGCTATGTCTAAATGGACAAACTGTTTCGTATTGACAATTATTTATGGATGTTTAGGTTTAGGTACGATTGTCAGATTATCTACGATTGTTCGTTTGCTTCGCTTTGATGTATTTCTGTTGATATTTTCATCTACAAAATCACATAATTCTGAAGGAAAATTATAACAATAAGATTTACTTTATTCCAAGGCAGTACCTATTATGATACAGCATGGAATTCTCAGCATTTGGTACAATATTGAATCTAATTTACTCGACAACATTAGAAACAAAGATAAATTTATTTTATAGGGTATAGCTAACCGGAGTTGATAATAGCAGTAAAAATAAATTTAAAAATGTACAAAAGGGTACAAAATAATAATATTATTAAATAAAATTATCAGATTATTTAAATAATGTCACCATAAATTACAAATATGAGAAGATAAAGGAGCCAAGTATTTAACTGATTACATAGTAAGTTGTAAGTTACATGCTTAACATTTTCTCTATCACATAGAACGTGAGCCAAATAGGATATCATTGAGCTTTTGTAGTTGATTGTGTGAGCTTATAATCTTTTATAATGCCTTCTAGTCATTTGTGATGGGATACAGGAGGAGACATGTAACTAAAGAGGGTATTGAGAGTCAGACAGTATGGATTTAAACCATTTTTCACATGAGTTCAGGTGTTTGTTGACTACAGTAGTAAATACCTGGCTTAGTGGCACACAACTCGCCCCACTCACAACCCTTAGTACCCTTCTCATCTCAATATCACACGGGACTTTTTCAGTAGCCCAGGAAAGACTAAGGAAGAGAGATAAATAACAGTAGGTAAGATTCAAGAGTTAACAAAATGTAAATGTAGACGTTGAGTGATTTCTGATTGTCTTAACTTCCTAATGTAGAAAGTTAGACGGGATATTTTCTTAGAAATCAACAAGATATGGGATGGTCAAGAAAAGTCAGAGGATAGAACTATTCCGAGGTGTTTAATGGTTGACTTAGTTCGTATTTTAGGAATTTAATGTAAGACTATTTAGCTGAGACCCTTGGCTTATGTCCAGCGAAAAGCTATCCAGTTTGAAACAGTTAGATCAGGACGTAATTGGACACGATACAGTCAGGTAACCAGCGTATTTTACGAATTTGATTTCTTCCAAAGGAGACAAGTCATGTTAGAAGAAAGGAAAAAGGAGAGGGGAGAGAATAACACCTTGAGGGACACAGGCTTGAGTGAGCAAGGCAATGAAAGATTTCCCTTTATATACATTATACTGCATTCTGTCAGAGAGAAAGGAAGACATCCAGTTGACGGTCCAGGACTCAGCCTGTGTCAAGGGGAGCTTATTCACCAGAAGACATCTGGGTACAGAGTCAAAAGTGGATGTATAGTCAAGGAAGGTACATCGAACATATTTGGCTCTCTTGTCTAAGTAGGAAATAATATTATGATGTAAGACGGCAGTAGCGTCTAAACTACATCTGCCCTGTTTTTAATCAAACTGTTTGGGGTCATTAAAGCTTTTTTAGGAGACTTCAACGTTGAGTAAAAGTAATTTCTCCATTAATTTCAAAAAGTAGAAGTGATTGCAACAGGTTTAAATTTGACATTCATATCAGTACATGATTTAGATACCGGGATATTTTTAATGTCTTTTCATGTTATGGGTAGAACATCAATGGAAAAAGAAGCACTGAAAATGTCTGTGAGAGGATGACAAAAAATATCAGCACATCTTCTGAGGACAACAGTAGGTACACCATCAGGACTAAGGCTCTAGGAAGATTTTAGAAATTTGAGATATTCGAGAACACGGATTGTGTTAAAGCCATGAAAGTCAGTAACCTTAGGTATATGACTGTATCACACGAATATTCATCTCATTTAAACGTTCAAAACCATTTTTTACATTTGTTGGGCTGCAGTCAGTAATTATTATTTTAAGTATTTTTCTAACGTCATTCTGGGCACCAACACCGATATTACATTATTTCTTTTCTCGGTAGCCTAACTTCGTAAATGTAACACTAAGTGTATCATTTAGCGAGGTTGACTATTATTATTATTATATTATTGTTCCCTTGGGTTCCTAGTGGAACATAGGGCTTCAACTGCACGCCTCCACTTGCTTCTGTCTTCTGCTGTACTTTTCACCTGCATCCATGTTAATCCATACTGTTTCAACTCCTCTTCACACGATCTCCTCCATGTCACCCTTGGACGTCCCACTCGCCGCTTCCCTTTCGGGTTCCACTCGAGCACTGGCCTGACGCTTGATGTCACCCAGCGGCCTCCTCAGCGAGTGTCCAATCCATCTCCACTTTCTCCTGCATATTTGTTGGGCGATTGGTTCTTGTTTCGTTTGTTCCCATAGTTTCTTGTTGATGATTCTTTCCGGCCATCTAATCTTCAGTATGGAGCCAGCGAAGACAGTTGTTGATAAAGGTCTGAAACCTGTTGGAAATATTCTTTGTGACCCGCCAAGTTTCTGACCACCCTGCCACCAATCACCAAATCATTGAAGGTGCAGAAGTCTGAGACGAGTTCACCGTTGTCGTTCATTTCACCGAGGGCCTCGCGATCCATGGTGAGTTCTCTTCCTGTATTGTCTCCTCCCAGCTTCGCATTCATATCACCCATCAGGATTTTGATATCACCATTTGGGACGTTGTCCATTACTGCCTGTAGTTGTCTGTAGAAGGCCTCCCTCTTCTCTTGTTCTGAGACGTTTGTAGGCGCATAGCATTGAATGATTATAACCTTCCTTCCTTTTGAGTTGAAACTGGCTGTCATTATCCTGGAGGGGATTGGTTCCCACTGCATGAGAGCTTGAGCTGCTGTTGGTGACATCATGATGGCTACTCCCTCGGTGTGCTCGTGGTCGTCCTCTGGGTGACCGGAGTAGATTATTGTCTCTCCAGTTGGTAGTTGGCTCCTTCCACATCCGTTCCATCTGCTCTCGCAGATTCCCAACACTTCTATTTTATATCTCCTCATTTCTGCGGCTACCTGAGCAGCCTTTCCAGTTTCGTACATTGTACGAATATTCCACGTCCCCATCCTTATTTTTGCTTTCATAGAAAGGAGGCACATTGGTTGACTGGCTTCCCGAAGGCTTTCACCAGCCTGCGTCATTTTACTTCTCCGATTCCAGCGAAAAATAAGGTTATTGTTTATGTTTTTGGAATTTTTAATATATTTGTGCGTTGAAGTTTTTGTGGCGATTTGTTTAAGTTTTGGGGGTGGAGTTGCTAGCACCACGCCCCAACCCTCCCTCTTTATCCGGGCTTGGGACCGGCTAGGAAACTAGTGAGCTAGTAATCTAGGCGAGGTTGAGGTTGACTAGCCATTAAGTTATTTCTTGTGGAAGTTTTACTGGATAAGTGGAATAAAATTTAACAAACAGTGAATTGAGGAACAATTGGCAGGTTGAATGCTGTATTTGTATATGAGCGGTCGTTAAAAGTTTGTTTATTATCAAATAACCGTCACCTTATCACAACTGTCATTACCGTGTTTTCAAACAGTAAGCTTTAGTTTTCACTAACTGAAGTACTAAATCTGTTCTTAAACTATGAATAAGGGATGATGTGTCCTCTGATAACCATTTTTGCAGATCTTACCGATCTTCGGAGATTTCGTCCTTAAGCTTCGCACTAATGAACAGTTGATTGATACACATTGGTAAGGTTTGAGAAGGTCTGCTTAATTTTGAGTTATATTAGTAGTCTGACTAATATGCATTGGGTGAACCAATGAAGACCAAGTAAAGGTGAAGAGCCATTTCTTCCTTTTTTGGGACTCTTCAGACATAGACACCCATTAGGTCGATGTGGACTGGGCGTAGGATTTTTCACTTTTTGAGTCCAGTACGTAATACAAAATTTTAAATTAACTTTAATTGATGATTTAAGATGGTAGCAGATATCGTGTGTATGGATCATCCATATCAAATATTTAACTATCCGGTTAAGTTTTCCCGTACCAGTGGATTTTCATCTGGATTCATAAGAGGATGATCTAATGCGTTTTGCTGTCTTCTTCAAGCTTCAGGAGATATGAGATACAAATGCAGTTAAACAAATGGAAAAGATGGTTTGTTGATCTGTTGGACTAGATGTATCTCTTTGTTGTACCTATGGAAGAGTTTGGGAAAATTTGAAACATATGAATAGAGGTTATATATATATATATATATATATATGAAATAAAAAGACAGTTGCAGCGAAGAAAATTTTCTTTTCGACGAAGTCATTATCTAGGCTGTACATTCGTGTATTTATATTAAATAGATGGGAAAGTTCCAGAATAGTATCCGGGTAAGGGTCAAATTATTAAAAATTACAATTAGGAATTAGAATGCCATAATAAACAGGGAGACGGATAAAATTCAAACAAAGTAGCATAATAACTAAGAGGATTGACATTGTATAATTGGGGGTTAGAAATGTAGAAATAACAAAATAAACAGGATGTTTGGATAAAAAACTAATGTGATTGATAATTGTTTACGCAATCAGGGATTAAATATGTAGAAATAGTAAAATGACAAAATAAACAGGAAGTGTGGATATGAGAATATAGTAGTGCAGACAGGGATTAAGAAAAACTTAAAATAACATGAATAAATAGGAAGTTTAGATAAGAAAGGCAATGGGATGGTCATTACTAAAAGAATTACCTGTTTATGATGGCCATGGCAGGGACAGGGGTTGGACGTATTTCTTTTGGATACAAAGAGTGGGTTTGAGCTTTTGGATAGCTAACGCCTCAGCTATGCCCAGATGTCTTGATTTCACTCCCTTTGATAGGTTTGATTGAATCTTGTATATTACTTTGAAGGATTTTTCGAAAGGCACTGAATGTCCTGAGTTGACCAGATGTTCTGTCACTGAACTGCATACACGTTTTTGGTCTCCTTTTACTAGCTAGGCTGGGTAATGTTCGCGAGCGCGTTTTCCAAGTCGGCGCATGGTACGGCCGATGTACTCAGCTCCGCAGTTGCAAGAGCAAGTAAACTGGTATATGCACGTTGAGGTGGCCCAATGCGACAGCTTGTCTTTTGCGTTCTGGTTGAATAGTTTCTTGCAGAAAAACGTCAGTTGTAGGTTCGCGGCGAAGTATGTTTTCTTCAGCGATTTGGAGAGGCGTTTACGAAGGATTTCTGCTTCACTATCACCTTTGAATTCTAGATTAAGCAGAAGTGTTTTCTTTGGAACGGATTGGACTTGTTCGGAAGTCTTCTTAGATTTGAGGTTCTTGTCTATGAACCTGGGCGGGAAACCGTTTTCCATCAGGGTTTTTCGGAGATTATGCAGTTCTTCTTCAATCACTTCCTCGCTGCATATCTTCCGAATCCTCGAGGAAAGAGCGTATATCAGGTTCCTCTTTCTGCTTCGTGTCACGAAGCTTTGAAAGTTGATAAATTGTTCATTCCATTTAGGCTTCTTGTATATGGACCTTTTCAAAGAGTTGTTTTCGTTTCTTGTCAGATGGACGTCAAGGAAGTGGAACATTCCGTCTGATTTAGTCTCAAGTGTAAAGTCGATGTTTGGGTGGGCGTTGTTGAAGATTTGAAGTAAGTTTTCGAGGTCCAGTTTCTCATCACAAATGATGAAAGTATCATCAATGTATCTCTTGTAGAGATGATATATTTGATATAAATACACGAATGTACAACCTAGATGATGACTTCGTCGAAAAGAAAATTTTCTTCGCTGCAACTGTCTTTTTATTCCTTATGTTCAAATGTGTATATTCCGTGGTATATACATGTATATGTATATATATATATATTCAGCAAAGATAATATGTAATCTCGATAAGTCTATTTATTCAGCACTACGAGTTTATATTTTTATCATTCATAGCAACGACAGTGACGAGTAGTTATCACATACTTATACTTACTTATATTGCTTTCCATATATATTTTTATTACCAACTAGATCAAAGTATATCCAAATGGAAGACTGCTTCATTATTCCTACCCTGAAGGACATACATCCTACTGGTTTCACAGACTCAAAATTTCTATCAATTTTACTTCCTGTAATGATTTTTTAACTGTTGGATTTATCCCTGAAGAAATTACACAACCATCACTGTTACCATATGTAAGTATTTTCTTTTTTGCTTAAGTGAATGTAATGGTATTCTCTATTTATGTATCATAATTTAAAGTGAAAAATGGCCGTAAGGGAAGTTTAATGATAATAATAATTATAATGGAAGCTTCTATCTGATAATAAATCTAAGAAGTTCATCTCAAAACTGTAGAGGCCACCTGATGTTAACAAAATTTATTTCGTGGTAGAAAAAATTGCGACAAAACTCATGATAGATGCTGAAATATAATTATTCTTAACAGCTAGTCTTAATAGCATTCGAACACTTCTGAAGTTACAGGATTTGATCATGAGCTGACATTGGTTAGAGAACCATTGGAAAACCTATGAGCACTGGACAACTGTTTCGTACTAGTTTGAGACTCTTCATCAGTACGCACCGACCACAGGGGTTAGAATCTAAGACCTTCTGGTTACGAGGCTAGCGAGCTCGTAGACCATTCAGCCACTGGGACCCTATCCAATGGCCCATGAATTCTAACTTCTGACAATTTACGATATAGCGCAACCGCTAGCCAATGTCTTTGGCGAGTATTTGTCCTCACAACTGACCTGCTGCACCCTACTGGTCATGACTTCTCACTAGAACCCCAGATAACTACCTACCTGAATAGGGCCAGTTGCCAGTGAGCATCTCATTGATATTCAAGTATTGGTTTGTAGGGATTTGGTTGATTGGACGAAACAGCTGTCCAGTACTCCGAGGAGGTTTTCCAATGGTCCTCTAACCAATGTCAGCTCATGATGAAATACTGTAACTAATCAACTAAATCCCTACAAACCAATACTTGAACTTCTGAAGTTATTCTTAGTTGAATTCCCACTAGTGTCACTGCGTCTGTCTGCCAAGGTGGTACGCTGGAAGACCGTTATTTCAGGGTGTAACGGTAGAAGACGAAAGACTAGATAAAGGAATGTCAATTTGGAATTTGGTTTCTCTCTCTATATATAGCGAAATTATGTACACCTTATCGTGAAAACGTCATTTGTGCAGATCTTCCATGTTGTGATACCTCTGTCCTTCGTATTGTCTTTCTTTGTCTTCTTTTCGTGTCCCCCATGTTTTGCTGCAACTCTGATTCACTTACTCTCTTTGAGGTCAAATGTATCTGATGTCTTTATGTCAATGAACGTCTCTTTATATACTACTGATAAATCTTATCAGTAGCACAAGCCACAACGGTAATTAGCAACAATATCTCTGTTCTGGATAGTGATTATACAAAGTATAGGACTTTTGATGGGCTTTATTGCATTATATTTCCTGTTCATTGCAGGATCTTCAAATAAAATCCTAGTTGGTAGTAAATCATGTGACATAATGCTAAGTGACCAATCCATTTTGATAGTTCATCTTTGTCTTCTTAGAGAAATGTAAGACATTTAGTTGAAAGTCGATTATAAAAAGTGCAGGAATACATTTTGAAACCCGATGACATAACACAGTAATAGTTATCTCATATATTAGGATACATTGCCAACCAGAATTATGCTTTTTCCCATGTGTGGTAGAAACTTGTGAATCAACAAGTTTTAAACATTTTAAATAGTCACGAAAGTAAATAATTTCATTAGAGATCATATTTTGATAAACTGAAACAAAGTGAACAAGAGAAATTATGTGTAGTATAATGATGGAAGCTTTCGATAGCGCATGTTTTGAACATTTATTTCCCGATATGAATTTAGATAAAGGGTTGAAATTTATTAACAAGTGATTTTTATCTTATGCAATTATCATCCACTGTCAATGGTGAATAGCTGTTCTGATGAATTTTTACTCGTCAGGAATGAACTTTCAACACCACGTTTCACAGTTAAAGCAGAAAAACTTCAGAGTGTTGTTCGTCAAACATTAGAAAAATCAATTAATTTAGGTTCCCTCAATTTTAGTCATACTCTTTATTATTGCTCTTAGTTTGGGGAAAAAGGTGACTTTTGAATGGCTTTGTGGTGTGTGCTACTGGAAAGATTCATAAGGAGTATACAGATGGAGAGTTAATAGGAAGCGGTCAAAATTGAAAACAAAATTTTTTAGTCAATGTCTGTAGAGGTAGAAGTGTGTATTCTTCAAATATGGATCTAGTGTACCTTGTGGACATGAAGTAACCTCATTGGACAACTTCTCGTGGCAGTGTTTAACCTTGGGTTCATCGTTAACCAATCAGAAGAGGTTTTTGTTCACTGATCTAGCAAACTTTTAATGTGGTTAAGAAATGTTTAAATATGATGTCTTTTTCTTAATGAAAAGGATTGGTTACTAACTTTCCTATTTTCTGGTGTTACAGTATCAGCTCTCTAAAAAATCCAACAACTAGAAATTCTTGTTCATCAACGGAAAAAATGAACTCCATTTAATTTTATTCAACATGCGATAGTATTTATATATATTGATTAAATTTGAGAAGACACGCAATTCTCGTCAAAATCGTACGCTTCATTAACTGCCCATGCAAAATATTTACCACGGAAATGTGTGATTATGGTGTAATTCAACAACATAATTCTATTTATTGTTGTGTATACAATTGCAGTAATTAATATATGTGTGAAACTTGGGCATTGTGGTAGTAAGTAATTCCATATTAGATTGTTTATTAGATATGTCACATAGTGAAACAGTACTATTTACTGGAGGACAAGGTTTCGAACACAATTTATTGTTCATAATCATGTCAGTTATAATCACACGACTTCGAAACTTGAGTTTTCTTTGTCCTCTCCTATTTGTCGTAAGGGCAGTAGAATTTCCCAGAAGTCTAGGTAGACAGGTGTTGGATCATTCTTATTACACGTGTTTGCAGTTGATTCGATAAACAAAGCTTCTGTTATCTCTATTTCTCCCTCCAGCCTGTTACATTAGTTTTTAAAACTGTCATCTTATCTCATCCCATTGTATAGTTGTATGTAATTGCATGTGGTGCTATCTAGGGCTGAACTATTCTCCAGATTTCTTCTCTTATTCGGGTCAGCTCATCTAGATTTCGCTAGGCTTTTATGCTCCGCTAGTGTGACTGCCCCTGTCCTACTACCTTGACCTATGTATTTGACCTGGCAATCATTGCTGGCAGAGTATTAGATAAACTAAACTGTTTTGTTTTATTGGCTCTACTGGCAGGGTCCTTTAACCGACAAAGCTTGTTTCTAATTGAGTTTGTGGGTTCGAATGCCACTTGTATAATACTGTTTCACTGTGTAATATATCTAATAAACAATCTAATACAGTTGCAGCAATCTTTATCACTAGCATTAATATTTTGCGTTTTCGAAATCATTTGCAGTCGCTATACTGTATATTTTCTAGTCACTTCGTTATTCAGGTCTCAGTTACATGGAAAAGAATTTTAGTACACCAAGCATGATCTACACTTATTATGTAAGGTAAGATATTAATTCCCAGTTTAAGCAACTTAGAAATCCCCATTGAGTCATCCAGAAGAAAACGCATCCAGTGAGGAGTTAATCTTTTGAGCGATATCGTCCTCAGGATGTACAATAGCATACATATAGTAAATTTTCTGCTTCTATGAAGACAGAGAGAAGTTGGCCGTACTCAGTGTTTTCTATCCAAATTTATCATTGAACACTTACCCTCCTGGTTTTATAAAGGAGGAAAAAGATCCTTCTGCAGCTCTATTCTGGAATTCCCGATTGAATCTAATCACCGACTTCAGAGTAATCTATAGAGTACACGGAAATTTTGCCAAAGGAGTACAAATCGGACTTCTTCAAACCGCACAAGCGATGGTAATATCTAAGTGTCAAATCTTGAACTCTGCATACAAAAAAAGTTTGTTCAGTCACTGGACGGACCTGCAATAGACCTAATTTGTCGTAACACTGGATATGTAGTTTTTGTTAAACCTTATGTCTTGGTTTTTCGTGTCAGTAGTTCAACGTTTCAATACTCGCCAACCACTCATTTGGTCCAGGGTTTGATTCCTTGCCAAGACAAACCTAAACCTGTTTAAGCCGGTAGTGAGGCTGGTAAACAGGGAAGGTTAGGCATGAGGTTAACCATGCTATCCAGTAAAAATAAAAAACCCGCTGCTACCGAAAATTCAAAGGTCTAGCCTGAGGCACTATGTTCTACTGGGAACGTGAAGAAATAAAATAACAAATAAATAATAAAATAAATAACTTCCTTCCCCCCTACAACCCACAACCATTACACTTCTACCCCTTATCGACAGCGATCTCAACTATTGTAGTTTTAATTGATTTCTGCTCAATCCCATCAGTTAGATTAAGTCACGCAATTTACTTATTTAAATTTAGTTTCTACTCGATTGACGCTTTCTACATTACTTAGTTTCCATCTAAAACTTACAATTCTAATGACTCATTTTTTGATACATTCCTTTCATTGCTAAGGTAGTTTACAATATTTCTGCGATTGTTCAGCATAAGAATGATATCATCGCTACGCTGAATTCCTTTTCATTTATAATACCATCCAATCGCCTCGGCTGAATTAGGTAGAGCTCGACTCGAACTCAGGATCCATTGGCTAGAAGTCGAATGCTTTTGTCAATGATCCATATCTACGCGCGCTTACTCTTCACACTGGTTGTAGCTTAAGAGAATGTGTAGGGAGGGTTTCTTTTTTACCTAACCAGTGTTTAGCTTTAATTGAGGGAAACTTTTAGTTCATTAGAATATATCAAGCCATATATCGCTAATAAAGCATGTTTAAGTTATATTACAAAAGGTTTTGTGTAATAGAAATCAGGATAAATGAATGTTAAATAATGTTGGTCAAACACCTCAGTTACAAGTAAAAATATAAATAATGATAATAGTTTGCTTTATTCTAAAGCAGTGCTTATCATACAGCATGGAATTTTCAGCATTTGGTACAATATTGCATCTAATTTACCCAAGTTAGAACAGAAAGTATTAAAATGTATAGGTAACCAAAATTGAAAATGACAACTTCTTCCCATTAGCGGTAAGAATAAAGTCGAAAATGTACAAAAAACTATAAAATGATAATAATAATAATAACATTCAAGTATTGGTTTGTAGAGATTTGATTGTTTGGTTACAGGATTTCATCATGAGCTGACATTGGTTAGAGAATCATTGGAAAGGCAACTGGCAGAAGTTAGAACTCATGGGCTGGTCATTGGATCGGGTCACAGTGGCTTAATGGTCTACGAGCTCGGTAGCCTTGTAACCAGAAGGTCCTTGGTTCTAACCCTGTGGTGGGTGCGTACTGACCACGGATTGATATCACCATTGGAAACCAGGATTGGAGTACTGGATAGCTGTTTCATCCTAGTTCGAGAACCATCGGTAGTACTCACCAACTGCGTTTCGAACCCAGGACCTTCCGGTTACAAGGCAAGCCACTGGGACCCGATCCAATGGCCAGCCCATCACTCCTAACTTCTACCAATTCATGTTATAATAATTGAAATTATGCCATCATAAATTACAAATAGGGGAGAAGATAAAAGGACTATTTAGTTTACTAATTACATAGTAGTGGTTGTCTTAACCCAGTGACGTTAGCTCAAGTGAAAGTTTTAACAAAGATATAAAAAGTGGCGATGTGGGAGATACTTAGCACAAAATTTGATCTGAGGATTTGTGAACATATTAATTACTTTTGATTATAATTCGTTAAAATCAAATTGTTGATATCATTTGTATATACTTAAATAGGTTGCTTGTGACGTCTTTAGACATAATTCCTTTTACTACTGGATTATTGAAATAAATAATGGCAACTATTCTGCCTTCTAGGTGAGCATTATTTTTAATTTACATTCCTGAGTAGACTAGTGGTTGAAATTCAACTAAGACTTAAATCTCCTAGGTAAAATTAGTTTCCTCATGGGTGCATGTAAACCTCATTCATGCCTACTAACAAGTGAGGAAATTAGGTTCAAACTTCCTAGTCGATTGAATGAGAAAGATATTTCATTATGTTGACAATTACCTCATAAGCAAACTGTACACTTAACAGACATAGATGAAATATATTCACTATAGTTCGCCAACTGTTTAACACATACATGTCTTCCTAAGGTTTTCTTCTCTTGCTTGTGTTCTATGTATATTTACCAGTTTAACTGCTCCTGTCAAGTCAGTTATATAGGCTATACAGTTAGGCTTGTTTCTCGTCAGATTTCCGAACATCACCCTGCTTGCTTAATTAAAGGACAAACAAAATCCATTCATAGCTGTATTCTATCTCATCTTGTGGATACAGAATACAAGATTGATGTTAACGAGGATTTCAAAGTCATCTACCGCACATACCAACTAATCTTAACTTTACCTTAAGAGTTCGTCGCCTGCTGAGTATTGCTGATGCTGTCGGGATCCACATTAAGAAACCTAAATTATGTATCCAAACGAAGTTGGTTCAGACACTTTCCTAACCCCACCGGCCATCAAGGTCTTAGTGATTCTCAGTTTGTTGTGGAAATTTCCCTAATTTTAGTTGATATTCTATTTGTTTTATATTTTTATTATTATAATAATTTAAGCATCTTTAATGAACTGTGGTAATTCCACTGATATTACTTAACAAATCGATATTATTTAAAAACATCACTATTGGTAATGACCACTATTCTAGAATATTTTATGTATATATGTATATATAATTGTAGAGCCACAAGAGGAAATTATCTAAAAGGATATTGTTTTCTCAATTACTTTGTTTTCTATGTTTCCTTTTATTGTATACGGCACGTTGATCTTGTAAAACGAAATGAATCGATTCGTATGTTATTCATTTGGTTTATCTTATTGAGTGAGTATATAAGTTGTGGGGAAACAAACTTGCTGTGCTTTCGATTGCACCTACTTGAATTGTTAGAATAGAGGCGCTTAGTTTGGGTCTGTATATTACCTCAGATCTTTGATCTTATGGGATTTTGTATTACTTGTTTGGAGAAATGCTGTAATCAGATTAGATGCAACGTTTGTCTGTTTTAAAGGTGTTTTATCAACTTTTCTATGCAGTTGGAATATCTGTTGTGGTATTTCTTGTGCTATGCGCGAAAACACCTAGTGATTGCTTTTACCCTCAAGCTATCTTATTGCCAATTCAATGTCAAATACCAGTTTACGTTATCCTTAGCGTAGACGTAATATCTGGCCAACGATTAAAGGATGTGTGTACTGCGCAGCAGTTTGCTCTGTTCTTCTTTATGGCAGTGAGACAAGTGGAAGATATGATGAAAAGGCTAGTTGTGTTTGATCACAGTTGTTTGCATTCTATCTCCCCTGTTAAGTGGTACAATACGTTGAGTAATATTCAGGTTTGGGCGTAGAGTTTTAGGTAAAGAGCACGAGTTGATCAAGGAGGTTGTGAAGGTGAATTGATTAAGATCCGTCGAACATGTGCTGCGCATTCCTAACCATCGTCTTCCTCGACTGGTATTGTTGGATAACAAAGGATCAGGTTGGAAAAGAGCTAGTGGTGATCAAATCAAAACCTGGAATCAGTCCATACAGTTTTCGGCAGTTGGTTTGAACCATTTAGGGGGCTTCAGGATTCAAAGAATCAACAGCTGGAGGCTTTTTGTAATTTCTTTCAAAGTTGTTCTCGATGGTGAAGATGCAATCACTTTCGGTGATCCACTAAAATGTCATGTTTTCTATATTAACTATTGTTTATCCCTCGCATTACTGCCGATTATAGCTCTTTTGAATCGCTTTTTTTCTCTCTTTTACCCACCTGCGTGCACTAAACGCAGTAAGGCAACTTGTAATTCTGCATTTCTATGCAAAATTCTATGTTGAAACCCAGTCAGTCATTCTATTTTTACAACTGAAATTACAAACCCTTTCCTCTTTATTTTGAAATTTAACTAAACAGTCTCTGTCAGTTGATTTAATTGTATGTTTGTCTGTGTGTTCTATGGTGAATCTCTGAATGAGAAAAATATTAGGCATTATTAGCATTCTGTTCATGTCGCCTTGAGTATTTTTTTTTTTCCTTCACGTTCCCCACTGGAACATAGGGCTTCAAGCTAGTAGCTTGAAGTTTCTGTAGCAATGTTTATTTTACAGGATGGGGTTGCTAGCCTCATGCCCAACCTTTCCTCTTCACCAGCATTAATTCTGGCTTAGTGAGGTAAAGGAGTGCGTCGGCCGGGGATCGAACCCCGGACCATGTGCATGGTCGGCGAGCGTCCTAACCGCTATACCACCGACGCATGCCTTGAGTATATATGTATCTTAATTTAAATCCTTGTGTGTAGAGTATCCAGCTGATGAGCTCTACAAAAATCCGATGGATATTTATTAAATCCTGCTTTATTAACATTTGTTGCTTGTTTTAAACAAGATGCTGCTGCTATGCATTTATCAAACTGTAACAGTGATCATTTCGATTTATTGCCTTTGAAACAAGAAGACTTTTAAAAATGAAACTGAATTACTTTTTAGCGTGAATAAAGTTATTCTGTTAAAGTGTCGAAAGTAGTCTTGTACTTATTCGTAATGAGAAATTTGGATTTATGATGGTCAGCTGTCTTTCCTGAATGTTGAAGAATATTTGTAGCTAATAGTGAATGATCTATATTGCTTTCTTGGCTGAAACTGATTTATTTAATCGTTCTGTTTGTACCTTACAACACACATTTGGTTTTCCATCTATACTTTAATGGATCCCGATTTGAGAACCATTATACTTTCACAGTATGCACCTGTTTTAGATGATAACAAAAGCTTTAGAAGTGATGGTTTGTCTTTGGAAGAGTTTATTGACAGTTTCTATTCATTGTCATTTAGAGCTTAAATATTCACGTGGTAGGATTTATTTGATCCACTGAACCTACTAACTTGATGTTAGTAGTCTGTTAATAGCAATCTAAAGGTTGTGAAGAAGCGACTCAGTGGCTTAAGAACTCGGTTTTCAGCCGATGGACCATGGGTTCGAGCTACGCTCGACCTACTTCAACCCTCATAAGGTATGTGCGCCTCTTAATTTGGTACACGATAAATCTGTTCTAGGTAACTGAATTTCATGAACTGAATCAATCTAAGGCATGCAATAACCATCATCTTTTGATTTCCTGCTAAAGGGCTTCAAATAGTGCGTTGTTAGTTCAAAAGTAGAATACTCACCGACAGCGCACGTACTTCGGGTTCCATTCCCGGCTGACGCACTCCTAAACCTCGTTTAACCGGTTGTAAGCCCGTTAAAAGGGGAAAGTTGGGTATGAAGTCAGCAGCCCCCCACCCGGTAAAAAATAAAAACCAAAGCCACTGAAACTTCAAGGCTCAAGCTTGAAGCCCTATGCCCCACTTGGTAAGGATAGGAATAAACAAATAGCCTTTTAAAAACTATCCTACTTATCACAAAGTTATCATGTTGTTAAATTCACTGAGTTTTCGACGAATTTCAAGGTTGATAGATAGAATTGTTGTTAACCTCAAAAAGTCAATAGTCACTTAAAAGTTGTTGTAATTCTTTTAATAGATAACTCATTGAAATACATGTAACTATTATATGTTTCCGATAATTTTTATTTCAAGGAACAAAATATTACCTGTACCTCAAAATTCCCACAAATTATTGATTCCAAGCATCGTATTATATCACTTGTTTGGTATACAGAATCTGGTTCAATTGATGAGATTAATTCCCAGCTAGATGTTCAAATGTCAGCGTATATGAGGTTTGAAGGAAGTTTCAGTCTTATCGACAGTAAGTGATGCTTTCAGTGTTTCATTATATTTTATCTTTCTGATGATTTCTTTCTTAATTATTTATACAACACAAACTGACTGCTGGGACGTCAAACTAGAATGGCAGTCAAACTTATACATAAGCTTCATTGACTTTACAAAGGCCTTCAACAGACAGTGTTGACCGAGAAGTAATTTGGAAACTACTTCAACACTACGGTCTGAACTATCCAAGTCTTCATTAAATTCATCCAGCGGCTATGTGACAGTGGCACTTGTCAGGTGACCCACAAAGAAAAGCTCGGAAAGGCTTTCGAAGTGAATACGGGGGTTAAACAGGGCTGCTTATTATCACCGATGATATTCTTAATTGTGGTGGACTGCAATCTACGCCAGACTGTGGGGAACGATTAGTCAGGAATACACTGGACCACCAATTAGAAGACTCGAAGACCTGGATTTCGCGCGTGGATGATATATGTCTAATGTCACACAAACTCGAAGACTTGTAGGCGAAAAAAGCGGATAAACTGGCTGAAGAGGCTAGCAGCGAAGACAGGGCTGCAGGTGAACATAGAGTAAATGGAGATGATGAAGATAACCAACCAACCAACCAACAGCAACAAGAAAAACCAGCACCAGATATCATCAACGGGAGAGATTCGACAGATGTTACTTCCTACACTTATCTGGGAAGCATCGTTTCAACTACAGTCGGGACGGATGAAGATATCAAAGCTAGCCAGAATCGGAAACTCAAGATACGCCTTCATCAACCTAAAATCAGTGTGGAAATCTTCTGCATTCCGCCTCAGCACAAATAACAAGATTCGCATTTTCAACACCAATGTCAAATCGGTCCTTCTATGCGGGTCAAAAACTTGGCCAGCTTGTTAGGATAAGGATTTTCAACAGGTTGCAGACCTTCACCAACAGCTGATTTCGCTCCATACTGAATATCAAGTAGCCAGAAAGAATTAGTAACGAGGAACTCTGAAAACAAATCAACCAGGAGCCGATCGCTCAACAAATATTCAGGAGAAAATGGAGAAGGATCGGTCATACATCGTGGAGGAAGTCGAGGGACATCGCGCGTCAGGCCAGCCGTCGAGTGAAGTCCCTATGAGAAGCGACGAGTGGGTTGTCGGTGTGAGTGTAACATGGAGGAGATCGTGTGAGGAGGAGATGAGAGAGTTTGGGCGATCGTCGACCCAGCTGAAGAGGATGGCAGAAAATAGAACAAAGTGGAGACGTGTTGTTGAAGCCTTATGTTTTACTGGCAACCCAAGGGAACAATAATAATATAATGTGGAACTATTAGTCTTGAGAAGTTACTTGAAATGTGTCAGAAATGCTATTAAAATCAGTTGAATATCAAGAAGCAATACAGAAAGTTAATTTCTCAAGTAGGCACTTTAGTCTTATACACAGTATGGTTTTTCTCAACTTTACTAACTTTGGTTGAGCAATTATATCGAATTGTTGGGATCCTTTCATTCCTTTTTAAATGATTCAGCCGATGAATAGCATCATTTAATCAACAATGAATTCAGAAATATTTTTCACTCTAATTATGCTTGATCTGAATATTATTTAAAATTGAAGAAAAGGTGATGGCCTCTTCTGTATTTTGATTACTCTTCTATGTTCGTATATTTAAGAATTTTTCATGGCAATTCACTTTGCTTCTGAATATTTTATAAAAGAAGAAAAAAGCAATGATTAATAGTAGAGAGTTTAAAATATTAAGTCGGAATTTATTATTTAACATCTATCATATTATTATTATTATTGTTATTCCCTTGGGTTCCGAGTGGAACATAGGGCTTCAATAACACATATCCACTTTCTTCTATTCACTGCTGTCCTCTTTAGCTGGGTCCACGATTGCCCATAATCTCTCACCTCTTCGTTGTCACATGATCTCCTCCATGTCATCCTCGCACTGACCACCCACTCGTCGCTTCCCATTGAGGTTCCACTCGAGAGATGGCCTGCATTGCACGCGATGTCATTCGACGGCCTCCTCAGTGGCGTATGCCCGATCCATCTCCATTTTCTACCACATATTTGTTGAGCAGTCGGCTTTTGTTTGGTTTGCTGCCAACCAGAGTTTCTTGTTGCTAATTCTTTCCGGCCAACTGGCCGTTTGATCTTCAATATGGAGCTAGCGAAGGCGGCGGCTGTTGATAAAAGTCTGTAATCTGTTGGAAATGCTCTCTGTGATAGGCTGGCCAAGTTTCTGACTGAATTCACATTTGTTTTGAAAATCCAAATCATGTTCTTTGTGCTGGCTGAGTGCAGAAGATTTGCAAAGTGGTTTCAGGTTGTTGAAGGCGTATTTTGCCTTTCTGATCCTGGCTAGTTTTGACATCATCATCCGTTCCGACTGCCTGTAGTTGAAATCGTACTTCCTAGCTGGATAAGTTAAGGAAGCGACCCTTTTCAAATCTCTCCAGCTGATAGTGATTGATGCTGGTTCTTGTTGATGTCGCTGTTCGTTGGTTATCTTCATCACCTCCGTCTTTTCTATGTTCACCTGGAGTCCTGTCTTCTCCTGGCTACTTTTTCTGCCAGTTGGTTGGTTTTGCCTGCAAGTCTTCGAGTTGGTGTGATATTGGACATAAGTCATCTGCGAATTCTGGATCTTCTGGAGTCTTTTAATCGGTGATCCAGCGTATTCCTGTCTCCTCGCTCTCTGAGCACAGTTTGACGAAAAATCCAGTCCACCACAGTTAAGAATATCATCGGTGATAATAGACCGCCCTGTCTTACTCCTGTTTCCACGTCGAACGCCTCGCTGAGTTTCACACTGTGGATCGCCTGAAACGTGCTGTTGTCATATAACCAGCTTTTGAATGAGGTTGAAAAAGATTTGGGCACTGCACGTCGTAGTGTTGAAGTAGTTCTCAAATGACTTCTCGGTCAAGTCTATCTGCCGAAGGCCTTTTCGAAGTCAATGAAGTTGAGGCAGTGGCTTGACTGCCATTCTATGCTTTGTTCTGTGATAATGATGCGTATAGCAACAATTTGATCAGCACATGATTTGTCTTTCCTAAATCCAGCTTGTTCTGGGCTGAGTTCTGCAATTTAACTTCTATAGATTGAAATTTTTAAAATGTTGCATAATATGATTTCGGGTCAGTTAAGAAATGGCTCAAAATGATTTAATAAGACTACCTCTGTGATGCCAATATTCGGATAAGAGCACTTCGTTCGTTCAACTAACTGATATGAACTTTAAATTTTCTACAGGAGTGTTTTGTTACAATCAAGTGGAGTAGTGGTATCACGAAAACTTCATTAGAAATGATTACATCATATTTTCATAAATAGCTTAGTTGTTAGCCCACTTTGTAAAACCAATTGTCAGATATCCAGATTGCAAAGATCCTGAACCTGTCGCTGGCTTCAGAAAACTAAGCCTAATACACAGAATACTATGCACTGTAGGCGACACAGAATAACAGAGAATGGTTGGGTTATACAATTGTTTATTCTTCAACCGATAACGAAACAGATTTACAATTGTTTGATCAGTGCCAAAGTCTGTAAGACTATCCTGGTATAATGTACAACAATACCTTTAATCGTATTTCTCCAATCTTGTGCCAACCAGTACATGGTTAAGCCGCCCAAATGGAGATTGGTTTGAATAAACAAACGGTTCAATGTACACCTGTATTGATACTGATTTTGTCATATACTTTGTTTTGATTGGGTTTCAGTAGACCGATGGGATCTAGTAAATGCATTTCTATTATTGGTAATCTTCAAATGCTTTTTAAACTATAAGTACCGCTAACCAAAAATGAGTTTCTTTCCACACGCGTGTATGGAATTTTTAAAAATCATTTCTGTTATTATTATTATTATTATGCCCGTTATTCACAATTAAATCAACCAGCTCTGACAATACAACCAATTAAAATCCATTCACCTGACCTAGGAATCTTTTCTATTATTTCGAAGTGTCTTTAAGACTATAATTGAGGTATTTTTAAGAAGTGCAGCACTAAACTAGACTATATGGTTATATTATGGAGAGAGCTAACTGCAAGCCAAAAATTGTAGGCAGCCATTTCCGTCAATGTTACGTCCCGAATCGGCGTCATGAGAAAAACAATAACAAAGCTTAACCTTGAGGAACTCACCAACCAATCACAACAGACTTGACGTGTGCAAATACGATTCGCAGGTATATGGCTTAACTTTCTAAGAAACGGTCACAAGCAGTACAGAATAACCTTCAACAAAAAAACAACCGATCAGAAGAGGTTGCTTCTCTGCAAACAATAATGAATAATAATGTACATAAAAATCTATACATATCTGTTGATTTTCTCAATAAATGATCTGTTGCCTGGTCCTTGACTTCTGTCATTACATTTAGTGTCGCTGCCTGCTGACAATGGAAAGCCTATGCCCTGCAGTTTTTGATGGAGACATATGGATCTTCGGACAGGACTTCTAGGCTGTTGCGCGACTGAGTGGCGTCCATGATCCGTCAGCAATGAGCCTGTTATTGATATAAGTATAAAACTTGGGCACTGTGGTAGAGTGTAACTCCATTGTGGATAAGATTTTATTTTCATAAATCACACAGTGTTTCACAGTAATATTAACTGATGACGTTTCGAGCACAAACTATTGCTCATAATCATGTCAACTTTTTCCTTCATTATAACTATAAGAACATTCGTCTTATTTCCCATCTAATTGTATTTGATCAATAACACTCATATTGATTTTTATTCAAACATCTAGTCAATTCCATACATATACATAAATGAAGGAAAACGTTGTGTGAGTGAGTGACTTGATATGATTATAAGTGGCAATAATTTGTGCTCAAAACGTCATCAGTTAATATTACTGTGAAACACTGTGTGATTTATGAAAATAAAATCTTATGCATAATAAAATGAGCCTGTTACTTGGAACGCTGCCGGTAGGTCGGACAATGGCAGCATATAATAGTGTATGGAGAAACACCGGCGAACACGAGCCAGGTTCTTGCAAACTGCTCCCAAAGTGGGAAGGTTCATACATGGTCACCGTGAGACGGAGTCACGTAAATACGATCAGAAATGCATACAAAGAGGAGCGGGCTCTAGAACTCGATACAGCAAGACAAGCTCACAAAGCCTCCAGCACCAAGAAGATCCAACCGACTTCAGTCGAAAGTTTTTGACGGGGGAACGAGTGTGGTACAGATAATGTGTGCGAACCGAATGGTATGCTCACACATTTCCACAGTTCATTACTGCATACAATAAATATATTTGAACATTCGATTTGATGTTAGACAGAATACATTTCCCACGGTTATATACTGCATTAACAAAAGGATATTATGTATATCTGAACATTCTGTCACGTTACTTGGTTTAAACCAAAATCACACTCTCGGTGATTGGTTAACGAATATAAACTGTAGACATATAAACAGCGGTTTGAATAATGGGAATTAAACCTTGGCTCCCGCGTCTTGTCTCCTGTTGTTACAATATGATATTCGTAATATGCCTTCTTTGAATACTGTGACTTTCCTCTCTAAACATTTTTACACACTGTATTCACATCTGAGAGTTACGAAAACTATTCGTAAATGGTTGATTGTTGTTATTATTGAGGACACTGTCACCATGTTAACTATCATTATTACTTATGCTTATTATGCTGACATTACTCCACCAAACCGTAAAAAATAATAAATTAATAACAAGGTATTAGAGCTGTTGAAATCTGACAACTACATGAAAACGATAACATGAATGAAGAACGGTAGTTATGTCTTAGTATAATAATTTAAAGATTCAAATTATAGGAGTTTTTCAACACAATGACAGACTAACATCAAAGCTAGTGTGGCAGCTTTGTGATTTGATTCGCCTACATTTAACATTTTAACAAAGATTTAGCTTCTGTTGAATTTTGAAAAAGTGTTGAGTAGAATTCAAAACCACAGTTTAAAGCAAGACGTTTCCTTAGCCAAAATTAACGGATTTGTGGTCATTCACTTTTAGGTAATAAACTTTTAACTAATGAATGATGATGAGTTCGAAACCCACCCCACAGACACGGAGATTTGGTAGGTTAGTTGTTTATCATCAGCCTTCAGTGCTGGAAATGTATATAAGTGTACAAGTAGCGCTCTAGATTTCTTCGTTGTTCCGTAGTAAGTATTCTAATTGGTGAAAGAATGGATACTGAACAAAGAGTACTCTTTTCGATAACCTCTTCTTCATCAGGCTCTACAGTTATATATACACATTATAGTGAATGAATGAATGAATTAGTGTTATGAACAACATTAATGTTGTTTAAATAACATCGAATCAATAATATTGATAGAATACAGCTCAATAGCATCAACATAAAATAAGCTGAATGTCAGAAAAATTAGGAAAGATAATAATACAAATTCATGAGTTTATAGTCTCTACTGAAGGCCAGGGCAGTAGTAGTGGTTGGCTGAACTTGCTTCTTTTGCACACAAAGCACTGGTTGTTTGAGGCGAATTGCAATAGCCTCTGCTGTTTGGAGCATGCGGTGCTTCGATGATTTTGGCAGTTTATTAGGCATCCGGTAGATGATAGAGAAGGATTCTTCCACGCTGGCTTTGTGGCCAGTTTGGACTAGATGGTCTAATATCGAACTGTTGATGGTTTTCACTACACCTTTATTTAGCCATAGTGGGATATGTTCTCGAGAGTGCACGAAAAATCAAGTTCCTAGAGCAACGGCCGATATAACTCGCTCCAACATCAGTGCAGTTGAATTGGTAGATACAGTTGGAAGTGTCTAGTCTAGGTACTTCATCTTTCAGTCGAGGAATCACCATCGGTCGTGTAGAGAATAAGACGTGTAGTTCGCCAGCACTAAAAGTTCTTTGAACTGATTTTCTTAATTTCTTCGTAATTATTTTGCTTGGTATATCACCCTTGAATTGCAGTCGTATATAAAGAGGCTTCTTGTTTACAGATAGTGAGTAGTCCTTTTCCGCTTTCTTTGTCATGTGTTTCTTGATAAATTTGTCGGGATAGCTATTTTCGATCAAAGTATCATATACAATGCTTAATTCATCTTCAGTTACTTCTTCTGAGCATATAGCTCTAACTCTGTGGCTGAGGGTCTTTACTAAATTTCTTTTGTACTTGATAGGAACGAAGCTGTGAAAATGTGTATATTGTCCTGTTCAAGTACTTTTTCTATGCAAATTTCTTTTCATACCATCATCTGGTTTTCTTGTAAGGAGGACATCCAGAAAGGCAATTCTGTTTCTGAATTCCTCTTCGCCCGTAAATTTCATAGCCAAATGTACTTCATTGAATTCAGTAATTATTGTACTCCTATCCGAATCATTATCACAAAGAATGACGGTGTCATCCATATATCGGGAATAATTGGGTTAACATACCTTCCACACATATTATATACACCTTTCCCCTGTATTGTTTGGGTTTTCTAAACATAAAAAAGCTGGGATATAGTATTACATCTTGTGAAATTTTTTGCTAACTATTTCTTCTAGGTGAGATTCAAATAGATAGTTTTAACTAAATATCGTGGTCAAAAAACTATTTTTTTCTCCTTCTTCTTCGTCTAGTGAATTCATTGATTTTGTGATGACAGACACAAAAGGATACTGGGAAAATTGAATAATGTTATGTTTTATTCATACATGTTTGAAAACATACATACATTACAAACAAACTATCTTATATTCTTTCGAAGTGGTCAAATACTTTTAACAGTTGACTGGTTGGTTTAGTTCTGAATGTGAATTCAAAACCGAAGAAATGAATACAATTACTATATATTCCATTACATATATTTATTATTATTTCCTTTAATTCCTAAAGGAACATAGGGCTTCAACCGTGCGTCTCCATTGCTTTCGGTTCTCTGCTAGAGTCTTCACCTGGCTTTAAGTCTGCCCACACGTTTTCATCTCCTCTTCACATGACCTCCTCCAAGTCACCCTTGCACTGACGACCAACTTGCCGCTTCCCTTTCGGGTTCCGCTCGAGCAATGACTTGTCTAGTGATGTCACTTGATGCATTGTTTCCTTAGAGTATGGCCAATCCATCTCCATTTCTTCCTACCTATTTGTTTCACAATCGGTTCCTGCTGGGTTGGTTCGCTCATTGCCAGAGATCTCTGTTGCTGATCTTTTCTGGCCATCTGATCTTGAGTACTGAGCGAAGACAGCTGTTGATGAGGGTCTGTAGTTTGTTTGAGGTGCTCTTTATGAAGCGCCAAGTCTTATTTTTGATGCTGAGTGTTGTTGACCTTCAAACAGACTTGAGAGTAAGTAAAGCCTGTCTCGCTCTCCCGATTCTTGCTTTGATATCCTCATCAGTTCCACCTGAAGTTGAAACGATGCTTCCCAGGTAAGTAAAGGAGGTTGTTTCTTTCAGATTTCTCCCATTTATGCTGATCGTTGTCCGTTGTTGTTGGTCTTGTCCAGGAATCTGCATCACCTCTGTTTTCTCTATGCTCACCTGAAGGCCTATCTTTGCTGCTTCTTCTGCCAACTTGTTACTTTTCATTTGCATATCTTCCAGTTTGTGAGAAATCAGACATATATCATCGGTGAAGTCCGGATCCTCCAAGTTTTTTGTGTGAGTCCATTTTATGCCTGTTTCCTCATTGCCCGCTGTTTGTCGCATTACGCAATCCACTGCAATCAGGAAAATCATTGGTGATAGTAGGCAGTATATTTATTTATTTGTCCTTGTAGAGAAATGTGTCAGTGTGTGTCGACTGAATAAGCATGAACAGTAATAATCACCGCGTAAACAATTTTTTTCCCTAATAACACATGATAACATGCCTGACAAATTTTTTTATTGCTTTAATAAAATCTGCTATTTTTTTGTTGTTGTTGGCTTTTTCACCTATAGAAATGCGTAGATGTGAAGTAGGCTCAGGATTTTGGTGTGGAAATCAAACAGCTGTCTGTGTATATGGTCAAATGCGTTGTGATCAAGCCGATGGTTGTTTCGATGGTGGAACAGACGAAATTGGTTGTCCACCTGTTCGTAATTATACATATGGTATGTTGTGTTAATATTTGTCCATACTCTTTCTCAGGTTTTTTTTATTGTTATAAAGATTTAATAACTGCATAATGTTGTAGGCAGCAGTTCTATACTACTGGTTAATAGGAGTAGTTGAATGCTACTCACATCAATTAGTGTAGTACATGTTAGCGATTGGTGCACAACGTTTACTTTTACTTTTTGCTTGTTTCACTTGATGGCATTAATGATCTCCTCGTGTGAACTTGTTTTTTCTGAAAGCAAGTTGAATTGGGACACACAAAGAGCTGTTTGAATTTACCTCCTTACAGTTTATGGTTCAGAATACTTCTTGTTTTTTGAATTATGAAGACAACTTATGCTTATTCCCTTGAGTCTGTTAAGTTAAATGCATTGAATATTCAATATCTTCATCAAACAGATGTGTGTTGCTATCCTTATTTGTGTATTTCAGTTGGGAAAGAAAATTTATTGTATGATTGTTTAGGTGCATTTTATTTCGCTAAAGTACTTAAATCTTTATTTCTCAAGTGTTAGTTTGCAGGGGTTTGATTAGCTAGAGAATCTTTGGAAAACCAGGGAGTACTAGAGACCCATTTCGTCCCAGTTTTGGACTCTTCATCTGAGTGGCATATGAGCTCTCCTCGTAACTGGAAAGTCTTGGATTTGAACCCTGGTGGGTGCGTGGTGCTGAAAAGTTCCAAACTAGAATCAGTACTCCCTGATTTTAGAATGATTCTCTAACCAATATCAGTCAGTGAGCAAACCTGAAATTTTCATGACTTCTTAGTTATTTGTGATTTATGACGTTCGAAAAATTTTGATGATATTAGATGGTTGGAGAGACAATCGGCGACAGGAAGCCTTGGACCTAGGTTTCGTGCTAGTTGGCACTCACTAGTCAGCAAGACGTATCTGCAACCTTGAAGGAACTCATGTCCCTTCTGAGAATGGAACCCGCGTCACCCAGGGCTGCAATCAGAGACGTTATCATTGAGTTATTCGGGCTCGTGATTGACCTCCTGTAGGACTGTAGTGGGTATTTTGATTGGACACTAGTAACTAGTGGTGACCACATTATAAACTTGACTCATAGAATTCAGTCTGCACTAAAGAAAGGACTAGACACATCACGTTAGTTACTAGTGTCCAATGAAAATTGAAGCATATTTTTATCGTACGAAAATGGAACTTGGTAACTGAAGATTTTTTTGGATTTTTCGTGGCTGACAAGAAATAAAATGATATCATCGTGTTCTGCTGACACATTTTTTTAATCTTTTGTTTAATTCAACTTCATAAAGTGCGGAGTAATAATAATAATAATGATTTACTTTATTCCGAAAACACTACTTGTGATACAGAATGGAATTTTCAGCATTAATCACAATATTGCATCTAATTTCCTCGAATTATAAATAAAATTAATCACACAGAAAATTTTCCGCATTTACAGTAGGGGTAATGCCAAAAACGTGCAGCATATAAAATGGAAATAATAGTAATGATAACAGCTAAGGTAATAATAATAATACAAGTGAAAATTGCCGTGGGCTTGTTTCACACAGTATTGTCGATGCGGTATAGAAATTCTAGCATGTTTAAAAATATTGAATGTAATGTTCTCTTTACATGATATGGTAAGGGGAAAAACAAAGATTACAGCAGACATAGAGATAAGTTGGTGTTTGCAGCTATGTAATTAAAAAAATGAAGCAACAGGAACATAAATATAATAGAAATAATAACAGCAAAACTTGAAGGCATATGAGGATGGATGTAGGAAATTGTTTATTTGCTAGATGAAAAAAGGTTAGTTAATTCTTGCCTGATACTATTTTCACCACATAAAATACGTGCCAAGTATGGTATCATAGAATTTTTATACTTAGATGTGCCAGCATACAATTTTCTGAAGTTACTTCTTGTTCTACCTGAGGAGATGCAAGTTGAAAGCTGGGTGAATGCTCCAAGTCAGACAAAATCCCTTTAGCAAATTTATTGCACAAAGTCAAGTGCCTATCGACAACGACGTTAACTATGTAGTCCACTGGGACACCACTCACCCTACTGACAGTCTTCAGCATTCTACGAATTGTGACATAGTCCTTTTTAAGCAAACCAGGAAATAATAAGGGTGAACAATAAAGAAGAATAGGTAGGATGCAAGAGTTTATGAACTGTAAGAGGAGGGGTTGAGTTATACCCGAGTGCCTCAACTTCTTAATGTGAAATGTTAGGCGGAGTATTTTACTGGAGATCGCTGAGACATGAGAAGACCAGGATACATCAGAAGAGAGAATAAGTCCAAGATACTTAATTTCTGATTTAATTCCTATATCATTGTCGTCAATCTTACAACTGTCATGAGAACGGATGGTTTCTTTTAACTGTCTTTTACATCTTAAGCTGAAATTAACAGTTTGACATTTAGAAGGATTCAGTTTAAGACCGTTAAACTCAGACCATTTACTGACTCCCGACAGAAAGCTATTTATTTTGGTACAATCTAGCTGGGAGTTAACAGCCATTGAAACTGTTAAATGATCAGCATACTTCACAAAGTTGATTTCATCAGACTGAGGTAAGTCATGTAAGAAGAAAGAAAAAAGAAAAGGAGAAAGGACAGCGTCTTGAGGAGGGACACCAGCTTCAGTAGGCAATGAAGTGGAAGACTTCCCTTTATACACAGTGTACTGCTTTCTTTCTGTATAAGAAGAAACGTGAAGTCAATTTATCTTGTTACTAATCATGATTTATTGTTAAGCTTTCTAACGTAAGCTGATCTTAGTTATTGTTTTCAGATAAAAAAGAAGAAGCACACACACACACACACACTCACATTCTAATCAGAATGTCGGACAGCTATATATCTAACATCACATTCCTTATCATTTGAAAATTACTGTCCATCCTGGCTAACAATGTATGCGGTTAACGAGGAAAAACAACAACAACAACAACCCAACAGTGATTCATCAAAAGAAATGTATATTATAAATAAATAAATAGATATTTATTGAGTTTATACTGACAGTAGATTATTCAATTCGGGTGGTCTAAGCACTAAGGAAAAGATAGAAATGGATACATCAACTTTTTTGAAAAATTTTTTTATGGCTTATCACACATATTTAAGATATTGTTGAATGTTGTTGAATCAATGCCTAATGAATTTAGGATATAAATGTTGGATTATTGTATAATGCCTACCAATTATCATTGTAATACAAGTTTCATGTGCGTCACTGGTTCAACAACAGAATCGGTTGGTTTTCGACATAGAACTTTGCACATATGTGCGGCAGTTCAAGTCGCCACACTCCCTCCTTGTAGGAGAAATGCATAATAGTGACAGTAAACAGAGTTGTGGGACAGAGGAATAGTAATAACGAAGAACAAAACAATTTAATTCGAAATCATGAGTCACAAGGAGTGGATGCATCTGCGCCACCGAAAATGATTTTGAGCCATGTCACCAATTGTTTCCAACCATTGGTTTTTACCGTCCGGAGGACTCCAACCAGTCAGGAAGTCTACACCTTCCTACATGGCTTAGACTAACTGTTGTAGATTTCATTGACTGGTTCCATGTTTTGGTTTGACCGCCGCTAACTCTTTTCCAGCCTGACCCTATGTCAACTAACATTACCCGTAGGTCGAGGAAGGCGATGACTAGGCATACGTAACACATGTCCTAACCATCTCAGTCGATGTAATTTCACAGTTTCGTCTATTGATTTCCCCTCCTTACCTAGCACTGGACGCCTAACCTCAATATTGCTCACCTCATCATACCACTGCATGCAGGAGATAGAACTCAGGCACCTATGATCGAAGACAGCTAATCTTTTCATGTCTTCCAGTCTCAATGGCCAGGTCTCACAGTCATAAAGGACGGATAGAATACCAACCTATCACGCACGTGGTCCAGAGTTCGATTGCAGACTGATGCTCATTTCTTAACCTTGCTGAATTGGTATTAAGCCCAATAAAGAGAGGATGTTGGGTTTGAGATTAGCAAACGCATCCAGTAAAAATGGAACCACTTCTACTGAAACTTCAAAGCTGAAGCTGGAAGCCCTAGGTTCCACTCGGAATGCAAAGGAATGCAATTTAAAAGAAGACAGTTTTGTGAAAAGTCACAATAAGACCTGACGTGCAATATATCAGCATATATTTATGCATAAACACTACTTGGAATTACGCAAGAGAAATAACCGTCTCTCGTTGATCATTAGAGAAAAGTATTACGTCAATCAATATAAGGTATTAAATGTAGGCGACGTCAAACTACTTTTGGTAACTTTAGAGATATTTTTTCAATGATAAATATACTATATAAGAAAAATATACTAGCATATAATTAATAATTATGTGAAGGGAATTTATTTTTTAACAACATAAAGTATGCGAAGTTAATATTCGGGAGTTAAAGGATCAATTCGAATAATAGAAAAGGAAACATAATATATTATGACAACGACAACAACAACAGCAATTGCGATGATGAAAAATAAGGGAATTTCTCTACGCCTCGATAATGAATACTTCAACTCTACATAGGTGGTAATTATTCACTCGCTCCAGTACTTTCGACGATTCACATTCACAGAAAATGCTTGTACAAAAAGATAGAAATACCTCGGTTGGGTGTTTAGTGTGTAAGATATTAACATTAGTTGAAGGGTAATTTTCTCCTCTTTTTCGAAAAAAGTTGTTAGCGAATAAGTATGCAATGAATGCGTCTCCTGTTATTCATACACATTTGTCTCGATAATACAAAAGTTTTTCACTTTTGACCACGGATTGATATCATTTAGAGAACCAGGTGTTTTGTCGTACCTAGGGACTCAGCAGCCGTACGCACCCACCGGAGTTTGAACCCAAGACCTTCCAGTTTCTAGGAAAGTTCGTGGACTACTCAGACACTGGGATTCGAGATAATGGCCTGTGAATTCTAACTTCTACCAATTCGTGATTTTAGCGCGACCAATAGCCAATGTCAGTGACGAGTGTTTGTCCTAACTCTCTTACCACCGAAGTGTCCTAAATTTGCAATTACTCCCTAGTTTTCAGTGATTCTCTAACTGACATCAACACGTGGTGAAACTTGAAACAAATTGTCCTAGCAAATAGTTTAGATTACGTGTCATATATGTGAAGAATTCTACAATTCTAGGGAGAAATGAATCATAGTAGAGGAAAACACCTGAGGGTTTGAGAAAGTGCTACTGTCACAGCAAAACACAAGAGTATTTAGTAATCAAATTATTTGGTTACAACTCGGTATACAGATATAAACAAAATACATCAACCGTATATTAAAATCACAATTTGCACGTATCTTTCTTATCGTGCCATTTTTGTCTTCTGTATTCTGATTCCTTGTCTTTCTTTCATGTTTTCTATGTTGTTTCAGAAATATCGTTCATTTCCTCTCTTCGCCATAAAATTTATCTCTCCGCTATTCGATATTCTTGCAGATGATATACACATTTATATCTATATCTATATACTACTTATAAATCTTGCCAGTAATACAAGCCACATGGCAACTTCGAAAGATTTATATGGCGATTTACTCATGCTTTATCCTAAAGTATTTCCTTGGGTGTCTTGTTCATTACATGTATTAATTACTAAAAACTATCGAATTTCTTCATTTATATTTAAGCAATACGCGTACTGCTGAACAGCATCAGATTAATTTTCAAGTACTGGTATATTAGGGAGTCCCAGACTAGGTTGAAACAGCTGTCCAGTACTCCCAGTTCCTTCATTTATATCTGACTGAATCCTGAGGAGTTATCAAATCTTCTCAAAGCATTCGCATTTCAGCAAGACTCTTGTATTCTTCAATGGATGGGATTTGAATGATCTCAGGATGCGAAATTGACAAAGTCTAGTACTCATCTTTGAAACACTTACTAATTTTTAATGAATAATACTAATATTTTAGTTTAAGGTCTGTAAACGTGTTTAATTTGACTGGGGAAACACTTCGCTGACACAAAACGTTTTCCACAAAAAAACCACCCCTTTTTCGTAAACACTTACTCCATGTATCCAGAAAACTAAGGTATCATAGCCTAAAGTGTACTCATATGGTTATTCATATATTATTCATAACTATTATGTTAAGGGTGTTCTTAATCTTTTGATATTGTGTGGTAGAAAGGTTGAAGAAACAAGTCAATCTAACGATTGCAGTATTGTTGAAGGTAAATCGTACAAAAATTAAGAAATACTATCCTATTCTTAATTCTTGAAATTCTTATGGATGTTTCATTTGAATCATTAAACAGTGCGCATATAAAAACGACAGATGCACTATAGACACTAATGCTGCCTTAAATCATAATATTGTTTTCACCTTAGACAAAGGAGCCAAATATATTCGATGTACCTTCCTTGACTGTACATCCCCTTTTGACTCTGTACCCAGATGTCTTCTGCTGAATAATCTCCCCTTGACACAGGCCGAGTCCTGGACCGTCAACTGGATGTCTTCCTCTCTCTCTGACAGAATGCAGTTTAATATATGTGAAGGGAAATCTTCCATTGCCTTGCTTACTCAAGCCTGTGTCTCTCAAGGTGCTATTCTCTCCCCTCTACCATTTTCCTTTCTTCTAACATGACTTGCCTCCTTCGGAAGAAATCAAATTCGTAAAATATGCTGGTGATCTGACCGTCCCGGGTCCAATTACGTCCTGATCTAACTGTTTCAAACTGAATAGCTTTTTGCTGGACATAAGCCAATGGTCTCGGCTAAATGGTCTTACATTAAATTCCTCTAAGTATCAGATAGTTAGCTTCATCTTCAGGCATAAACGTGAGCTAAACGAACTGATCCGTTCACAAGATGCTTGAAGCTTACGGGAGGCTAAAATAAAAGCTAAGTCAAGCATTAAACACCTCGGAATAGTTCTATGCTCTGACTTCTCTTGGTTATCCCGTATCTTGTTGATGTCTAAGAAAATATTTCGTCTGACTTTACTACATTAGAAAGTTAAAACAATCAGGAACCCCTCAACTTGTACTATTTTTTGATTATAGCTTGATTCCACACCGTATTTTTGATACAAGTATGAAATTTTCAACATGTGATATCGGTAGCTCAATTTTACAGCCCGACCATAGATATCGGGTGTGCGTCGGCAGGGGATCGAACCCCGGACCATGTGCATGGTCTTCGAGAGTCCTAACCGCTGTGCTACCGACGCACAATTTTTAACTCTTGAATCTTACCCACTGTTATTTATCTCCCTTCCTTAGTCTTTCCTGAGCTACTGAAAAAGGGCTGTGTGATATTGAGATGAGAAGGGTACTAGGGGTTGCCAGTAGGGCGAGTGGTGTGGCACTAATCCAGCTCGTTGCTGTTGGAATTGTCAGACATTATCATTATTTTTATGAAAATCAATGGAAGTGTATCTAAAGGATATTTGGAGGATAATTAGCATTTTATTTTAGGTAGTGTTTAAAGGTGTGCATTTAAATGGCTCATAAACCAATAAATACTAAACCTCTCAACACCAAAAGTTAACAAATGGAAACATAAAACTTCGATAATAACTGATAGCCATTGTAAATTAAGCAGTCGGTGCAAATGAATAATAAAGTGAGAAACACTATAACATGCGTAAAGTTTAATTGTTCAATAAATCCTGAATACTGAATTTCACTTTTAGCTTAACCATTTGCTTAATAACTGTGTGTATATAACTTAGCTAATTAGCCAGTATATTCTTTTTCCTTATATAAAAACTTGCTTATTTTCTACTGGAATTTGTATTCCTAATGGCAAATGGATAACAACTAGTTCAACCAAGACGTCCAGTAAGCAGTTGGTCAGTATACCTACCATGGACGGGTGAGTGAATATTTAAATTTACTTAATAATAATAATAAATCTCCTCTGGTTCATGATTTTACGCACTAAAATAATTATCATGATACTTTTGCTTATTTCTGAAGACTGGCTGCATGAATATTACACGCTACATTTCTTAATACTTATTCACTCGGTATCACAATATCAACATCATATTCTAATCTACGAACTTTATTTAATCTCAACATTAAAATTATATTAAATCAGAAGTACTAACGTATTAAATATAAGGCCTTGATAGAGAAGATTTGTAGCTCAGGGGGATGATTTTGGTGTGGTTGTGTTCGCAAATTAACTATCCAGCTCAGAAAACACAGCCACACCAAAATATAAGGCTTTTCCCGGTATATAAGTGCCTTATCATTGCCTGAGTTGTATGCACGCCTACATGTGGATTCTGATATTTGAGGAATTTTTATTGTGAAATCACAGCTAAACCAGAGACAGTATATTACTATCTACGTGTGGTCAGTGTAAGCTCGAAGTTTCTACATAACTTGATTTTAGTTATGAAAGTGTTTGTTTATTTTGACCTCAATGAAACTGATAATATTGGTTGGAGGATTTTATCATGAGCTGACATCAGATAGAGAACTATTGGAAAACCTGAAGGGAGTACTGAATAGCTGTTTCGTCCTAGCTTGGGACTCCCTAAAAACAATACTTGAGGATTAATCTGATGCTCAATAGCGACTGGCCGTATTCAGGCAGTTAAACTGGGGTTCTAGTGGGTAGCCGTTACCGGTAGGGTACAGCAAGTTGAAGTTGAGGCAGTAACTCATCGAAGAAGACATTGAGAAGTGGTCGCGCTACGTCATGAATTGGCATAAGTGAGAATTCATGGGCTGGCCAATGGATCGGGTCCCAGTGGCTTAATAGTCTACGAGCTCACTACTCTTGTAACCAGAAGGTCCTGGGTTCGAACCCCGTGGTGTGGGCGCGTACTGATGAAAAGTCCCAAACTAGGTTGATGAAACAGCTGTCTAGTACCCCTAAGTGGTTTTCCAATGGTTCTCTAACTGATGTCAGCTCATGATGAAATCCTCCGACCAATCAAACAAAATTCCTACAAAAAAACTAATACTTGAAACCGATAATAGGTTCTGAAGTTTAGTTTTCAGGTTGTTTATCAATTCAGGTACAAATTTTATGATCGATTATTAAGTATTCAATTTTAAGAGTGAAAACACAATATATTACTCGTAAGTAGACTGTAGTAAGGCTCAGATTCTACTACATGATTATTACACATTAGTTTGTTTATTAGATGTATCTATCACACAGTGAAACAGTATTATTTACTGGATGACGTTTCGAACACTTGAGTTGCGAAATCATGTGATTATAATTGATATGTTTATGAACAACAAATTGTGCTCAAAACCTCATCATCCAGTAAATAATACTGTTTCACTGTGTGATATATACAATAAACAATCTAATATGGGATTAATTACTACCACAGTGCCCAAGTTTCACACACATATCAATTACTGCAACTGTATAAACAACAACAATAACTGGAATTATGATGTTGTTGAATAACACCACAATCAAACATTTCTATGGTAAATATTTTGGATGGACAGTTAATGAAGTGTACGATTTCAACAAGAATTGCGTGTCTTCTCAAATTTAATCAATACGTATAAATATTATCGCATGTTTAATAAAATGAAATCTAGTTCATTTTTTTCCGTTGATGAACAAGTATTTCTAATTATTGGATTTTCTAGAGAGCTGATACTGTAACAGCAGAAGATAGGAAAGTTAGTAACGAACCTTTCTTATTCAGAAAAAGACATCATATTTAAACATTTTTAACGACATTAAAAGTCTGGTAGATCAGTGAACAAGGAACTCTTCTGATTGGTTAGTGATGGGCCCAAGGTTAAACAATGTAACGAGAAGTTACCCAATGAGGTTATTTCATGTCCACAACATACACTAGATCCAGATTTGAAGAATTGACACTTCTACCTCTACATACATTGACTAAAAAATTTTGATTTCAATTTTGACCGCTTCCTATTAACTCTCCATCTGTATACTCATAGATTTTTTCCGTAGCACACGCCACAGAAGGATCGAAAATTCACCTTTTTCCCCAAACTAAGAGCAATAATAAAGAGTGTGACTAAAATGGAGGGAAACTAAATTATTGATTTTTCTAATGTTTGACGAACAATAGTCTGAAGTTTTGCTGTTTTAACTGTGAAACGTGGTGCTGATAAAATTTCTGTAAAACATCTTCAGCATACATCGGTAATGATTATTTTCTCAATTCTGTTGCCTCCATTTATATGTAAACGATAGTTTTAGCTTCCATTAGGAAATATAGATTCTAAACCTCTTCGTTATAAAAACAGCAACGCTGAACACATTGAAAATGATCATTGCAGTCTAGTGATTTACCTAGAAAGTCAACCACTTTAATAGTTAACCAATGATCTGTTCTGAACAAATTAGATTACCCCCAAAAAGATAATAAACTTGAAGAAAGAACAACCACCCATCTGAAAAAAACAAGTATTTTTAGTGAGTAAACAAAATAAAATCAACACTGGAAAATTTGATGAGAAGTTAACCAAAAAGAGTTCTGTAGCAAGATATGATGATAGGCATACTTTTTGATAGCGTGTAGAGTTACTGTTGTTATTGTTTATAAAATTATTAGAACAAAGCAGGTGGATTTCAGTGTCAAACACCTGCGAAATTACGATGAAATAAAGGGAAATGAAAGGTAATCAACTTTCGTCTTTGACAGGTAAGACGCTAAATAATAATAATAGTTGGGGTATAAACAACAGCTTATGAATACTCGATGCTATGTTTCTTAATGATCTTTCATATTACTTAGAAAAAACAAAAAAATAATTGAGCAAAGAATATCGTTTTCGATAATTTCCTCTTCTGGCTCTATACTTATATATATATGTATATATATGTTTGTATGCATAGAGTATTTTAGATTAGTAGTCAATTACAATACTGGTGTTTTTTAAATACTATCGATTTGTTTAGTAAGAACAGTGGAATTACAATTCACGAAAGATGCATAAATTATAATATGCATAAAAATATAATAGCAAATAGAATATCAAATAAAATTAAGGAAATTTCTACAAAAAATTGAGGATTACTAAAACCTTTCTGGCCAGTGGGGTAAGGAAAGTGTCTGAACCAACTTCTTTTCGATGCGTAAGTTAGGTTTCTTAATGTGGATCTCGACAGCCTCATCAATATGCAGTAGACGAACTCTTTAGGAGAAGTTACGATTAGTTGGCATGCACGGTAGATGACTTTGAAAGCCTCGTTAACATCAATCTTGTATGAATGAATGAGTTTTGTTTTTCCTTTACTTAACCACGCAGGATGTAGAGGAAATTACCAAAAAGGATATTCTTCGCTCAACTTTCTTTTCCTGTTTTCTTCCTAAATGTCTGAATGAATATATTTCGTATTACTGACAAAAATGTTACTATGTGTGGAGATTTCTGTATAATCTAATTAATGGAAAATTGGTTTTTTTTCTTAAATGTTGAAAGTTGAAATTTCAAAAAAATGTTGCCGAGGAATTCTGTTTCCCATCACTGTTTATTCGTTGTTTTTCTTTTTTTACTTTTAAGTAAATATCAATAGGTAACCTCTTTTCTGTAAAAAAAACAACCAAAAAGAAAATGTAGTTGCCAGTTGTGAGACAAAATACCGAAAATCTATTACAAAAATTGTACATTTCTGTTTGCGTTTTTTGTGTTGACGGTAAGAATTGATAGGCGGCGAAATAAATTTTGTAAGACTTAATGTAAAATTTTTGAAATGAATCTAAATTTTCAACACGTAGATTTAAGCGAAATACAAAGCACTACTTGATCATCTCAAATTATTTTGACTATAAAAATTGAAAAATAAAAGAAAGAATAGGAAATTAAATAAACGTGAGATTGAAAGTCAGCCGTTTTGCCTTTTCGCCTTTCAATGAAGCTGTAATTTCATGATGAAATTAACATCACTGTACTGAAATGTATATGAATTTCACACAAAGTATAAGTTCCACCTATTATTGTTGTTATTTCTCACATCTATGACATGTATTCATTGAACACTTATTAGTCCAGTATACAAGTGCACACTACATTCAGTGGAAATGTTCTGTCTGTTTCATTTAATCAACTTGTGGTTTGTGCAGAATAATATGGTACCATCATTTATTTCGTTGGCTTCTCATCAGCTGCTTACAGCCTAAATAAATTGTGAGGTTTACGTACAGAAAAGTTTTAACATACTTGCAAATTGTACATGTTGTCAGTTGACAGAAAGTTCCACAATTACTGAAAAGTGCTCAGAAAATTGTGCTTATATAGTTTTCGCACAGGCAGTTCAAGTCAAAATAAATTTATGCATACAATGATAAAGGCATTACGTAATAAAGACGAGAGGTAAGGTGATGAGTAACTAATAAATTTGGTAACGATGTACTGAGTTCAAATCACGTCATAGAAACAAGAGACAAGCAATATTACAGATTACATAAATAAAAAGAGAGGTGAGGTTAAAGACAAAGATTACGTAATCAGACTGGAGAATAAAGACATCCAGTTACCATGGCAAGGAAGGACTAATAACTGCTTCTTTCTGAATACATAAATCTGGTTTGAAGCGTTTGATAGAAATTGCTTCGGCAAACTTGAGGAGAATGGAGCTCCTTTGTCTATTGATAATTTTAAAGGATTTCTCGATTTCCACCTCATGACCTGTGTCGAGGAGATGCCTGGCAATGGCACTGTTTAAAGAATTTGTTCCCTTTAGATGTAAATATTTTTGCTATATGTTCAGAAAATCGTAGATATGCCCTTCTTTCTGTCCTTCCAATGTAACTGCTCCCGCAGATACATGTAAATTTGTATATGCAGTTGGAGTTCACATGAGAAGGATATCTATCGATTTTTGATTGCAGCAAAGAGCAAGTTGTTCGATAGACAGGAACGAGCTTAGCTGCAGGATAGGCTATAGCTAGTGATGTGCTCAGCCTTCTGTTGATTATCGCTGTAATGTTTTCACCTTTATGATCAAGCTGAAAGCAGATTGGCTTTTTTCCCACTGTGATTTGTTTTACATTTGAGACTTCAGATCTTCCACACTTGTTAATGAATCTTTGAGGGTATTCATTGCTCTTCAATGTGTTTTCAAGAAACTCAAATTCTTCCTCTAATTTCTCTACAGAGCATATTCTCCTCGCTCCATAGTACACAGTCTTGACTAAACCGTGTTTAAATGATGGTACCATATTATTCTGCACAAACCACTGCTGTTCTTGCTTTATTTAAATTCATCAAGGGGAATAAATGCATGAAGTTAATCAACTTGTGTTAATATTCTCATGCATCAGTGGTTCAGTGGTAGAAGACTCACCAACCATGGGAGTAGAAGGAGGGGGGTTCGATTCCTGGCTGAGGTACTCCTTTGTCTCACTTAGTTGGTAGTAAGCCTAGTAAAAGGGGAAGGTTGGACTTGAGACTAGCAGCCAAACTCCCGTAAAAATAAGAGCCGCTGCCACTGAAACTTCAAAGCTGAAGTTTGTAGTCCTGTGAAAGGAGAAAATTAAATCTATCAATATTGTCATTTTTTCAAAGGTTGACAAGAATTTTATAAAATTAAGGTTGTGTTATATGAGTTGGACACCTTGATTATGAAGGTATCGTTATCCACCTAGTCAGCATCTTCAATGCTGATCTTAATGTGAATTTTCTTCATCATTCTAATTAAAAAGACTTTTTAGTTTTCGTTTGACTGATAATCAGCAAGTTATTAGTGATATTGTTTACTAATAGTTCTCATATTGTTTATACAGTTGATTAGAGTGACAGTCTTTTCATGGAGATTTGTCCTAGAAAGCTAGTTATTAACAATATTCAAGTGTTGGTTCGCGAGATTTCATCATGAGCTGACATTGGTTAGAGAACCATTGGCGAACATTTAGGGAGTACTGTGCAGCTGTTTCGTCCTAGTTTGGGACTCTTCATCACTGCGAATCCAATACCTTCCTGTTACAAGGCAACTTTGTAGACCATTAAAACACTGGGACCCTATCCAGCGACCCATGTGTTCCAACTTCTGCCAATTCACGATATAGTGCGACCACTAGCCACTGTATTCCTCGGTGAGTATTTGTCCTAATACCCTACCTGCTGTAACCCACTAATCACGACTTCTCCCTAGAACCCAGTTAAATACCTACCTGAATACCGGCATAAGATTAAATATCAATCTGAATATTGTTATGGGAATTGAACTTTAAGCGTCACAGTAACGAAGTTCTCTAACTGATATGAGCTCATGATGAAATCCTGTAACCGACTAAATCCCCGCAAACCGACACTTGAATATCAATGACCTTCATAAAAAGTCAGTCCTATCAGTAATGATTATCCTATCACCTTTGTTATCCAACCTTCCCGTTTTTATTTCTGTCATTTCTATCTGTATAATCAGATACATTTTTTTAGCCGAACTTCCTGCCTATTTTGTTATTATCCTACATTTTAATCCGTAATCGCACAAACAGTCAAGTTTATCAACGCTTATGATCTTACTCTGCCTTTTCTACCCGATCTTCTTGATTATTACACTTTGTAATTTTATTAATTTTACCTTTAACCAGAAATAGTTTTGGGACTTTCTCACCCATTTACTATAAATACACGAATGTTCAGCATAGTTGATGATTTTGTGGAAAAGAAAATTTTCTCTGCTGCGACCGAATTTTTAATAATTCAGTAACATATCATATTCAGCATTAATCTGTTCGCATTAGAAGTCTCTAGTTCAGTTGAATAATTCATGTCTAACTGTAAGACATGGCATCTGTGTGGATGAGTTTTGAAGTGGTCATTTTTTCTTTGAAAGGCTGTTGGAATACACTAAATCAATCAGTCTTTTTTGCAATGTGGTTTTTGTGTGATACGGATATCTCCTTATTAACACGAGTTAGTTTGTAGGGATTTGGTTTGTTTCAAGTTTGATCACAGATTGTTATCAGTTAGACAACCATTGAAAACCGGAGAGTACTGGACAGCTGTTCTCTTCTAGTCTGAGAGTCTTGATCAGCACGCAACCAGCACCTTGCAGTTACAAGGAAAAACTCGTGGACCAGTTAACCACTGGAATTCCTCATGAATTCCTGTCCGTGATCACACTTGAAACAAATCGAATCCCTGTGGAGGCTTTAAAACAAAACAATTTAGTTTATCTAATACCCTACTGGAATAATTGTCAGGTCAAAAACATAGGTCAAAGTAGTAGAACAGGAGCAGTCAGACTAGCTGAACATAAAAACCTAGCAAAATCTAGATTGGTTGACCCGAATAAGAGAAGAAATCTGTAGAATAGCTCAGCTATACCACTCAATACATGCAATTACACACAACCATGCAATGGGATGGGATAAGATGACAGTTTTAAAATCTAATGTAACAGCTGGGTGGAGGGAGAGATTGATAACGAAAGCTTTGTTTGTCGAATCAACTGCAAATACATGTAACAGGAATGATTCATCACCTGCCCCAGACTTCTGAAAAATTCTACTACCATTACGACAAATAGGAGAAGACAAAGAAAACTATAAAACTCAAGTTTCAAAGTCGTGTGATTATAAGTGACTTGTTTATGAACAATAAATTGTGTTCGAAACCTCTTCCTTCAGTAAGTAATACTGTTTCACTGTGTGATGTATCTGATAAACTAACTAATATGGAATTAGATACTACCACAGTGCCCAAGTTTTACACATATATAAGTCAGATCCCCGCAAACAAACTCTTGATGCTCGCTGGTGACTGGCCACAGGACGAAATTGCCTGGAGTTCTAGTGAGAAGTTGTGACCAATGGGGTCTACCCGGTGGGAAGTGAGGACAAATACTCGCCGATAACATTGGCTGGTGGTAGTTATGCTAAAATCTGGAATCGTCAGAAGTTTGGAATTCATCGGCTGTCCCAATGGCTAAACGGTCCACGAGCACACCTTGTAGCCGAAAACTCGTGGATTCAGACCCCAATCGGTACTCACTGTTGCAGACTGTCTGCAGACTGTCGATAGTGAAATGCTGTTTATAAATATATGACGATGGCTAGTAGTGGACTCAAGTGTATCTCATTCACAAATAGAACAGAAAATATGTAAGGGATGCTAATGCTAGACATTGCCAGTTATAAACCCTAATTAGTTAATTAATTAACTTGCCTGTCTCAGTTATTTTTTTTCATGCCAGCAACTCATTTTTTATTTTTTTCAAATACTTAAAACTGTCACATTGATAAACTGTTACATCATTTAAAGGTTAGTGCATTTTAAGGTTCACGCAGACACACACACATACACACGTGTACATTTTTCCGACAAAATTTTCTTTATTTCCATTTTCTAAACCAGATTTTCATTTCCCTATCATCTGATGAAGAAGTTAACTAAGCGAAGAAAACTGAAGATGTGAAGGGATTAGAGTTTGTTTTTTGCAAAGTTAATTTGTGTTTTTTTTTTTTCTTTCAAAAAGGCTAATTCTCTCTTTCTGTACGAATTTTGTTGATAATCATCACCAATAGGGATTCAATTCATGCAACTTTACGCCTTAATTTGTTTGCACTAATTTAAAATTTATGTGTATGCTATCTGGCAGTGATCTATGAAGTAGTCGCTTCTTTGGGGTATAATTGCTAATTTTGATTATAAATGAAATCTATCAAACAGTTTATGTTAAGGTAGATTTTGAATAAGAGGAACAAAACATAAAGCCAATACTTGTTTAATTTATAAAAGTATTGTAATAAGCTGTGAATTCAACTATGTACACAATGGGATACAAATCCTTCTATGTGTAAAGTGCCGTTGAAAGTGGTAAACTTGATGAAGCTATCTGACTTTAGTTAAATGCGTTTTCGTATTATGTCTCATGCTAAGTGAGAGCATGGGAGCATAGACGTGATATCCGACTATCGACCAAAGGGCGTGTGTACTGCTCATCAGTCCGCTCTGTCCTCCTGTATGCCTGTGAGACCTGGCCATTGAAAGCAGAAGACATGAAAAGATTAGCTGTCTTCGATCATAGGTGTCTGCGTTCTATCTCCCATGTGAAGTGGTATAATAAGGTGAGCAATATTGAGGTTAGGCGTCGAGTGCTACGTAAGGAGGGGAAATCAATCGACGAGTTTGTGAAGTTACATCGACTGAGATGGTTAGGACATGTGTTACGTATGCATAGTCATCGCCTTCCTCGACAGGTAATGTTAGCTGATATATAATGGATCAGGTTGGAAAAGAGTCAGAGGTGGTCAAACTAAAACATGGCTTCATCAGTCAATGAAATCCACAACAGTTAGTTTAAGTCACCCACGTAGGAAGGTGTAGACTGGCTTCCTGGTTGGGGTCCTCGGGACGGTAAAAACCAATGGTTGGAAACAATTGGTGACATGGCTCAAAATCGTTCTCAATGGCTGGCTCAGATGAATCCACTCCCTGTGACTTATGATTTCCAATTAAACTGTTTTGTTCGTCGTTATTACTATTCCTTTGTCTCACACCTCTGTTTACTGTCTTTATTATACATTTCTCCTACTTTTTTCTCTTACTTTGTGTGCTACAAGGAGGGAGTGTGGCGACTTGAACTGCCGCACATATGTGCAAAGTTCTATGTCGAAAACAGACAGACAGACAGACTCATGCTGAGTGATATAATGTAGTCAGAGGCAGCGGTAATGATGGCAAGTCAATCTGTGAGGTTTTGAAGGTAGAACTGTTGGGATGGCTGGAACACGTGTTACTCATGTTCAGGCACCATCTTTCATGTCGAGCCATATTAGCTGAAAAGAGTCACGGGTGGTCAAATCAAAATATGATTGTGTTTTTTTGTGCTACTCATGTAGGGAGATGTGGAGTGACTGATTAGCGTGTTCGCGATGCTAAGAAGCAATAACTAGTGGCTGTTGGTGATACAGTTCAAAATCGTTCAGAGTAGCACAGACTCATCCACTCTTTGTAATATCCCAGATCCTTTGAATACCCGTGTTTTTCTGTTGTTATTCTTTATCTGCACTTCTGTGCAACGTTCTATGACGAAATTGAGTCAATTAGTTGTTTTCATTTTGCATACACATTCTCATGTATAAACTTGATGACTATAGAAGGAAATTGTTGTTTTATTCCTTTACGTTCCCTGTGGAACATAGGAATTCAGGTTAGAAGCTTAAAGTTTCTATAGCAGTGGTGTTTAGTTTTACAGGATGGGGTTGCTAGCCTCATGCCTAACCTGATCTCTTTACCACTCTTATTACTGGCTTAGCGAGGTAAAGGAGTGAGTCAGACAGGGACCAAACCTCGGACCACCTGCGTAGTCAGTGAGCATTCTACCGCTGTGCCACAGATGCCCTTATAGAAGGAAATATACGGGCAGCATTGTATAGAGTCAGGCGATTTCTCCTTATGGATTCACCTGCGTTCAACCAACCTATGACAGTTAATACACCAGGTTATAATTAAGTGGTTACCATGATTGATTCCGTTTTTATAGAAATCAGCAATATTATGGTGGGTGTAGAAAATCTATTCCATATGCTGTTCAATTAATGGGTTATAATAGTCACTAATATCTTATTATACTGGGTTTTGTTGAGGTTAGTTAAAGGATTAAAATATGGCCACAAATAACGATGACAGCCGGAAAAGCACTCTCGATAGTCTCCTAGAGCTACGCCGAAAACTTCATATAAGAGCATTTAACGTCAGGACCCTCTGCCAAATCGGAAAACAGGCATCACTAGCGAGAACTCTTGCTACTCGAGCCATGGATGTATTTTGTGTTTTGGAGGCACGCATACAAGACCCGAAGGGTTATTCACTTAATCCCACTCGGCCAAAAAGGTGAGTTTGCAAACTTCACTTTAAGGGTGTCAGGATACTCCTGAGCTAGTTCGTGGGGACTCACAAATGTAGGAATTGCATTGAGTCTTAGGGTAGAAAAATCACTCAGCTGCGGACACAGCTGCAAAGGCTGTCAATAACATAAAATTAAATGTTAGTAAGAGCCATCCGAACCGATATACGCAAAAAGACTGATTCCGGAGAGCTCCGAATATGATGAGGGGCGAAAGCTACTCAAAATCAAACCGACAAGAAGTCTTCGCGACTACGGTGGACAATTGTGGGCGGCAAAACCTAATGACATGGAAAAGGCATCGGCGATTGGTAACACCAGACAACTATTTAAACTTATCAAACAAACAGGTGGCAAAAGTCAAATGATAAGTCAAACATTCTCCGAGACAAATGGCATCATAATTAGCTCTCAGGATAGACGACTGAGACGTTGGAAAGAACAGTTTGAGGAGCAATATAATTGACCTACAAGCAAGCCCAACTTATTGGGCATCCAACACCTCCCTAGATGGGATATAAACACCGTCCATAACTGAGGTTGCGAAAGCTGTCACCAGTCAGAAATGAGGCAAAGCAGCAGGACTTGATGGAATGACTCCAGTGGTGTTTAAGATTGGTGGAGACAGTTTACTGTCTGCATTAACTAAACTTTTAGGCAGTATTTGTGAATCAAAGATAATCTCATTGGGCTGGTATAAGTCATTGATTATCCTGATATTCCAGAAGGGAGACAAGTCTTACCGTGATAATCACAGGGGGATTAGCTTGACCAATATGCTATCTAAAGTTCTTGGCTCAGTAATCACGCGTAAACTAAGTGATTCTTCTGAGAAACAAACACGAGAGAACCAGGCAGGCTTTCGAACAAGAAGATGGTGTGTTAATCATACCTTCGACAGATTCTGGAACATAGGCATACTTACCAGCGGCGTCCAACAATCACCATATTTCTTGGCCCGAAAGCGGCATTCAATTCCGTCGAACAAGAGGTACTATATCGATGTTTGACTGTGAAGGGAATGCCGAGAAAATACATTGCACTGATCGAGGCACTCTACTCGAACTCATGCAGCCAGGTTAGGGCTTACGTCGAGTTGTCATCTGAAGTGGTGACAACTAGTGGTGTCCGTTAGAGATGCCCACTGTCCCCATTTCTGATTAATTTCATCATTGATGCACTAACGGACTTAACCCTAAGTGACTTCAGCAACTCAGGGATTGACTTGTTACCTTCAGGGAATAATAGTTTCATTGGCTTGGAATATGCAGATGATATAGTCCTTCTAGATGAGGTGAAGACGCTGACAAAATGCAGAGTCTTCTGAACATTTTGATGAGTAAGCGTTCTTTAAATGTTTAGTATGCGATTCGTTCCTGTCAAATATAAGATGGTGCTACAGGTCTGGACGACATTGACTGCTCCTAGCTTAAAGTTAGTTAGTGAAGTGGTTGGTGAGGCTTGTTGGGCACATAACTTATTTGGGAAGTTGTATCAACCACTGCCAGCGGGTTGATTGCTGACGAAGTCTCAGCACCTATACAGAAGTTTCTTATGGCACTTGCCAACTTACGCCATCTCTAGTGAAGACGTGATATTTGGCCGGCTGTCGACCAAAGGGCGTGTGTACTTCTCATCAGTCCACTCCGTCCTCCTATATTCCTGTGAGACATGGCCACTGAAAGTGGAAGAAATGAAAAAGCTAGCTATCTTTGATCATTGGTGCCTGAGTTCTATCTCCTGTATTAAGTGGTATAATAAGGTGAGCAATATCGAGGTTAGGCTTTGGTTGAGTGCTAGGTGAGAAGGGGAAATCAATCGACGAGGTTGTGAAGTTTCACCGACTGAGAGAGATGGTTAGGATATGTGTTGTTACGTATGCATAACCATCGCCTTCCTCGACCAACGGGCAATGTTAGCTACCATAGGATCGGGTTGGAAAATAGCTAGTTGAGGTCAAACCAAAACATGGCCTCATCAGTCCATGAAATCCACAACTGTTAGTTTAAGCCACTTAGGGAGGTGCAGACTTCCTGACTGGTTAGGGTCCTCGGGATGGTATTATCCAATAGGTGGAGACAATTGGTGGTATGACTGAAAATCGTTCTCAATGGCTGGCACAGATGCATTCACACTTTGTGGTCTGTCATATCTAATAAAACTCTGTTGTTCTCCCATATTACTATTATTTTTCCCTCACTGACACTTCTGTTTGTTATCTCTCTTTTGAAACTCTCTTTGTCCTCTTCTCTGAATTTGTGTGCTCTATAGGGGGGGGGAGTGTGTCAACTCGAACTGGTTCACATCTGTGCAGAGTCTTACGTTGAAACCACTCAGTGAGTCAGTTGTATTACGTTTCTTCCTACTTTTTTGTATTTCAGTGTAGCTTTCACTCCTTAATTTTACTATGAGATTGTGAGATAAGACATATGCTTCATGTTTTTATCATTTTAATATTATTTGTTAGTCATGTTCTACAAATGACTTCTCTGTCTAACAGCGTCCGAAGTTCGTCTAATAAACCATATTGTACAATGCTAGCTAGCTAGATAGAGTCATAAAGTGATAATATTCAGTGTTGTGTCAGTCTGAGAAGGTATTCATTCTCCATGGTAAAGTAAACACACATTAT